CGTGATGGGAATTAAGTTATTGTGGAAGCTCCCAGCAGGCGGAGCGAAACGTCGGACATCACTGAGAACGCGCAGTGCAGCCAGACGAACACGTTGAGAGATATCTGCAGTAGTGTTGCCGTTGAGTAAAACGTTGAAATGGGGCAAACGGGGACGTTAGTCAATGTGGAATCACAAGATCGTGGGTTCGATCCTGACCCCGACGCCTGTATGTTTGGAGTTTGCTTGTTCTCCCCGTGGTCGTGGGGATTTTTCTCTGGGTCCTTCGGTTTTTCCCTCCGCATTTAGAATCGGCGTGTGTTTTAGGGTATTTGGCTGCTATAAATTTCCACGTGATAAGCCACTTCGTTGAGCTACCATTTGTGATAGCCAGGTCGCTTCTGAAAAAGAGCTACATAGCTCAGTGGGCCTTACCTGGTAAAGTAAAACATTGTTCATAGTTTTAGTTTAGTTTATAGAGATTAAGGTGCAGTCCTCAACAGCTTGCTCACGTCACAGCTGGTTGAAGTGTCTGGATGGGACTCCAGAGGGTGTTTTCGCCTACAGTAAAACCTTGGATTGCGAACATAATTCCTTCCAGAAACGTGTTTGTAATCCAAAGCACTCGAATATCAAAGCACTCGTATATCAGTTGTGATCACGTGACGCTCGGCAGACACATACTACTCGTATTGCAAGACCTCGCTCGTTTATCAAATTAATATTTATTTAAAAATGTTGCTCGTCTTGCAAAACACTCGCAGACCAAGTTACTCGCAATCCGAGGTTTTACTGTACCCTTGTGTACGTACTGGCCAAATATCAGGGAACAGGTGGGAGTTCCCGCACTTTACCCCACCGCACGTGACCGCCACCGATTGATCGTCTGTGGTTGAACAACATTCATAACGCTGGGCGTGTTTGGAAGTTCCACTCAAGCCCTTCTTCACATACTTAGAGTCTCGCACTCATTACACGCACAAAGTGATTGCCACAAATGAACCCACAATACCGCGCTGATCTCGTCAAGGAGCATAAACCGTCACGCGAACTCCGGCCATCCTCCTGCGGCCGTCTGGAACGTTCTTGCTTCTTCCGATATGAGGAAGCCAGTGGGAGTTAGGCAACTTTTATATCATCTAGATTGATAACTAATTTCTTGAGAACACTTGCTTTTTGTGTTTTAGTTGTCTCCCCCGCACCTCCGATTAGCACGGTTGTGCCACGTACGGTGCGAAAGAAGTTCAACGTACGTACAATGCACACAAACGCAAACGTGCACGCATTCTGCAACGCGCGCCCTACTGGGAGTTGACGTAGTCGAGGCAGGTCAATGGAGGGTGGTGGTGGCCGCAGAGTGGTGTCGGGGAATCGCCAGCCGCGTTGTCAGAGCCGTCGCTTGCTGCAAAAATAAAACCACCGAGCGAGACCGGGGTGGGGGCGACGGGGAATGGGGGGCTTGGGGGCGGGGGGCTGGTGAGCGGGGGGGGGGGCTGGTGAGCGTTACGCAAGATCCTGTGGAGGGGGGGGGGGGCTTGCAAGTCTCTCTTGCACACAGTGTTGTTGTTCAACCTCCTAACTTGCAGGTCACAACAGAGTCAAAAGATCTCCCCCCTTCCCCACCATAGTTTGTTGTCCTTCGCCCCCACCGCACCTCCCATTATTGGCACGGTTGCCTACGTACTGGTGCGAAAGAAGTTCAACGCACATGCATTAAAAACATAGCCTTTGACACACTGTTAGGGCACGTGATGTTGGCAAGCACCCATGAAGGCCAGAACGGTATACGAAGGGGATGGGTTGGCCATGCAGCATTACGCCCGGCCGCCTTTGTCTCCCCAGTAGCGATGCTTAATACAACTGCACCCGGTTCTTATTTGCAGCTGAGTCGACCGAGGGGAGGCCCAAGACCGGTTCAGATAACCGTCACTGGTGTTGACCGTGAGTGGCAATTGGACTCGTGTCGCAGGGTTCATAATCCGCTATGGTGCCGCTCCCCACTGGTCACAACAAAGACAAAGACCCCCCATGTAGCCTTAACAGAGCGTAGGGGCAAGTGTTGTTAGTGAGCGTCTATGAAGGTCGGCACAGCACACGAGGGGGTGGGTGGCCAGGCCGCCTTTGTCTCCCTCGTGGCAATGTTTACACACCGCACCAGGTACTTATTTGAGGCTGAATCGACCTAGGGGAGTCCCAGGACCGGTTCGGATAATCGTCACTGGTGTTGGTCGTAGTCGGAAATCGAACTCGGGTCTCCTTGGTCGGTAGCGCAGCGTGCTAGCCGCTACTACGCTACTGCTCCCCGCTCTGGTCTCAACAACAAACAAAGATCTCATAAGACTTGTGGCAAGCGCTGTTCGCGAGTAGCAACTACAACAACACAGACACTCACCCGATCTATCACTCACCCGATCTATCACTCCCCCATTCACACCGACCGACACTCACACGTTTACTCACTCACTCACTGGCCACGCTGCAGGTCACAACACTTCTCTGTCCATCATGGGACCGCCTTTGCCAGTATCAAAATATAAGAATAGGTTTTGATCTTTCTAGCAATAAAACCGATCTTAACGTATTAAAACACCAAGCTGAACCCTTTTGCAAGGAATCACGTCTGCATTGACCACATATACTTGTGGTGAACATGCAAATAAATAAAAATATGCTCTGGTAGTATATGATGATGTATTGTCTTTGAAACTGATTTGTCCACACCAGACAGCTTTCTATAGAGCCTCGCCTCAAACGGTGTTAGACCAGAGGACGTCCAAAAGGCGAACAGCACAAAGACAATGCCACTATCAGAACATTGAGAGCTCGGTTTTGAGCAGCAACATCATGGGACCTCTCCTTGGCAGTATCAACAAATACCACGCACATACCTGGTCACCACAAGTATGTGTGGTTAATGCAGACGTGATCCCTTGCAAAAGGTTTCAGTTTGGTGTTTTAACATCATTAACACAACTGTTTTATTGCCAGAAAGGGTAAAACCTATTCTTCTACTTCTCTGTCCTGCTCAAGAAACGCGTTGCACTCTTCTGCCAATTACAGATTTGAGAGCGCTGTTGGTTGCCAGCCGCTTGGCAATTGCTGTGTTGCATCCTGACAGCAATCGGTCACCGCCAAGTATCGATGTATCCCCTAAATAGTTAAACGTTTCCTACGCTTGCGATGCACGCAGCGAATCGAGTAAGAATCGATTATTTACAGCTGACGCAAATTCTATGAACTTGTTACTTTGACTGCGAGTTTCTTTTACACTCGGGCTTAGGGAGTGGCAATTGACTGTGGCAAAAAAAAAAATACCTTTCTTGAATTTAATCAGCTACCTAAAAAAAACCGTGACGCTTCAATAAAATTGCCGGGATGCAGTGAAATGCCGGACAGTCAGGGAACATCCACTGCTACCACACCCTCCCCCCACAGCCATTCCCTGGCCTGTCACATTTAATTTCCAGTATAGATTCTTGCGTCTGGTTTGTACAGCCCCAATTGCATTGCCTGTCACACGTGCTCACGTTCTTCCGTCGTGTTTGTCCTGTCCTGTTCTTTTAGCCGGAAGAAGCATTGCGTCTTCTACGATTGGCACTAATCCGTAGATAACTCGATTTCTGTTGCAATGATTTGGAATCAATTCTTTTTAATCGTATATAACGTGCCTCGTGGGGCCTATATAGTCCGCATTGTATTACAGAAATGGTCATCGGCCGTGGTCGCTCCACTGCTGCATGAAAGCCTTACCAGGTAGGCGCCATCTCTAGAGGTGGTGTGATGTAACGGCCAGTCTGTCTTGCCGCTTTCTACACATGAGCTCATTTTCCAGCGTGTTGCATGATCACAGCATGGTCACACGGATACTTTGCAAAACTGTAACGGATCATTCGGTGAAATGCATTGAAATGTAGCAAATTAGATTCTTTGCTCCATCCCTGCATTGGACATCTACCTGCCCCCCCCCCCCCCCCCCCCCCGTGGCATTTCCCCTCCTTTGGCTGATTTTTTTTAAATTCACGACTCCGTGGTAACTAACCTTCCGTACGCTGCTTTGTCTATTTTGTTCCCGCGGTACTTCTCGTGCCGAAATTCAGTGTAAGCGTGGTTTGCCATTTTCAGCGTCGCGAGATGCAACCCGAACAAATCATGCCATGTGAATGACGCTGTCTAGTCAGGCCCGTTGTCATTACGACTGAATCGTCTTCATTCGTGGACACTTATGGTTTCATGACAAGATTGTCAAAGGTGGCGGTGGCGGCTTGTAGATGCCTTTGTCCAGCAGCGGATTGACCAAGGCCGATGATGATGGTGGCAACGATGAGATTGTGGCGAACGCAGCGATTGCTTGTGTCCGCCGTGGGTTACGTAAAAACGATTTCGTGAAACGTGCGGTTAAACGGGAGAGGGAAGCGGGAAAGGGAAGGGAGGGTGACGAACATGGGCCAGATAAAACATAAGCAACGATGGTGTTGCACATGCAGGTCAGGTTATAAAACTGTTACTGTTCACCCGCGTAAAAAACGGGTGTCATCTGTTTTTATTGTTTCTCGAGTTGCTGGTCACAGTGTCACGGGTGAGGCGCCGCTAAATATAGAAGCAATCGCGCCCTTTAAATAGGGTGCGAATTAGTGCGGCATATCGTACCCTACTTTGTATTCCTAATCCGCGACCCAGATAAATCCATCAGTGGAGAGAACCTGCAGTTTAATTGTATTTGCAAACACAAAGTAACGGTCTCTCACTGCTGCGTGATTTTATTTGTGGAAGACGAGCCCGAGAACAGATTCGCGTCAACGAATTTGATGCATTGCTACACGCTTAATGACGGTTAGTAAAAGTAACAATGCAAGTTGTAGCGGGCGCACTATTTTACGGACGTGAATAACCGTGACTTTTGAGGCACGGGGCCAAGCTCTGTGTGGGTGCGAATGCCACGCGAAAGAGGTGTGGGTGCCCTTAAGTGCCTCTTCCAAGTAGTGTGGGGGAAGATTGATGGCTCCTGCGAATGTGCGGCCAGGATGGCAGGATTCTCGGCGGCTGCGGCTGCCACGGGGTAACGACGCCTGGCAGTGATGGTGTGAGCGCTTGGTACAGAGAGGAGGAATTTGGAGTCGCGCCACGGACAGTTCTGCCGTGAGCTGTTAGTGTAGGGTGACAGAATGATACGGTTATGGCTCGCCACTGTAAGCTTATCACCGCTGACATGTAAATTGTGTCGGCGTAACACATCACCGCACACTGTTAACGCTTTCAATTTCATGTCGCTGATATCTAGGTGCATGTTGTGTAAAACGCCAATAAGAATGTACAGCTCCTCTTCTTGGTTCTTTCGGTAAAGTCACGTAGAAGGGAAATAATAAAATAAAAATAAATCTCACGACGTTTTCGGCCACAACGCAAGCAGCCGTCCTCAGGTGAACTTTCCGACAGACCTGTTCTTCACCTGAGGATGGCTGCTTGCGTTGTGGCCGAAACGTGAGAATTTTTTTTTATGTTTTATTGTATTATTTCCCTTCTACATGACTTTACCGAAAGAACCAAGAAGATTAATCCCTGCAGTTACGAAAGCTTTAAATCGAAATGTCCAGCTCTTTTATCAATCCACTGCTGAATGAAGGCCTCCCCACTCTGTGTTGGTCTTGGGGGTTGTGTGACCATACTTCACCAAGCTTCTCAGTGAGGATTTGTAAAGGACTGAGGAGGGAAGCCCAGGATCGGTTCAGATTTGCCATCGTGGCAAGATGTTAAATACCTCATGCTGCTATACAGGAAGTTGTGGGCTCGATCCCAACGCTGACACCTGTATATTTCGAGTTTTCATGTTCTCCCCGTGGTCGCGTGGATTTTTCTCCACATTTAGAATCAATGTCACGCATTACGAGTATTTGGCTGCTAGAAATTTCCACGTGATAAGCCACTTCGTTGAGCTATCATTTATGGCCAGGTCGCTTCTGAAAAGAGCAACGTAGCTGGCACAATTAAAGTAGTTTAGTTAATAGTTTTAAATAATTTAGATTTCACTTGCCACCGTGAGCTGGGGCCCCGTGTCCAACTCAGGCCTCGGGATTCACAGCGCGGCGCACGAAAGGCATTCCCCGCCGTGCTGCCCAGTGTTGACGATAGGTCACATACCATGATTGATGCAGAGTGAGGTTCGCTGCTGGTGTGAAACTTCAGCACTGCCACAGTCCTGGAGAATCTCTGGGGACACATCAAGCGGAGGGGGGCGGGGGGGGCAGATATCACGGTCATTACATCTCCGAAAAGCGTTTTTTACGCCAGCAATTACCAATTAAACGAATGCTTTATCTGATTAATCATTTCCTAGCTCAATTGCCCATGACGGTTCCCCCTTGGGGGGGCCGGGGGCGGGGGGAAGCGAGTGGCAGAGGGCGATCGGTGAGAGTGAGCCATAACAACGCTGGGTTTCCACGAAGGATCGGGATAAATTACACGACTCGTTGCAGAAGTTCCGTAACTTTTCGTTTTTGCCCAAAAAAATGCAATCGTTTTTTTCTCCCGAATTGCTTACGGTGGTGGCGGCGGTATACCGTTAGTTACGCGTCGCAGTTCACAGCAGAGTTGCGATTAGAGCTGCCTGGCTGCATGGTAAGTGACCCGGGGAGCGTATCTCTCCTTACTCACTCATTCCTAAAGTGCATTTATTAAGTACATAAATAAACCTCGCATAATCTGGTCGTGCGGGAAGTATACATTTCCATCCAGCCTGACGATGATTGTTTCATCGAAATAAACAGGGCATGTTGATTTTTTGTTATTTGAAGTGATTTAAAATGTGGTAATTCGGTATTGGTGAGGTTTTCCTTGATGAGTGACTAAACGTACGGCACGTCCGGCTGTAAAGTTTAACCACGCGAGGCTAACTCGGTGCCGTCTCCTGACCCTGCCGGTGTATTTGTTGCACACGTGTCATCAATTCAACCCCTCCACTGCAATTCTATTGCCGCGATCCAACTCAAGAATAAACATCAACGTTGTTATCACCTCGGGTTTTTTTTTGTGTTTGTTAAAAAAAAATTGGTGTTGATATTTATTCTATTGATAACGTCGGAATATATTTTGCACACAACAAAAGATAAATAATTGAGTCTTACATCACGATTCAACGAATGCATCCATGAGCCTTAGAATAAACATTTTTATCGACATATTGAAGCATCGCCCAGCACACCACATCCATGATACTTCTCGGCATGGCTGTGGTCGACGAGTTTCACACCCCCCTTCAGTCTACCCCGTGACCCAGGAAAATATTCGGTGGTGGGAAATGAAAGGAAAAACAAAACGGAATGTTTTGACGGCGCTTGCTTAAAAGCGCCCCATCAATTCAAAGCGCCCGAACGTCGTCGCGTCTCATCTAGACCGTTGCTATGCCCTGTTGCAGTTCAGTGATGGGGATGCTGAGTGGCATCTGTCCCTGTACGACGCGGGTTACACGCACCACCGGCCTGCAAGTGAACGCATTGGCGGTACAACGGTGTTGCGCGGTATAAAATAAGTAAATACGAATTCGCAATAGATATTTATTTTCCCCGCGATACGCTGCCCAGGTGCTGCATCGATATCGTTTCTCGTGACTTCGAAGCGGCCGTAAGACGAACGGTTATATGAGCGGCTGAACACGAAGCTTCACAGTCTGCTCTATTCTATTTCGGATTTCTAGAGTGCCCTTTTCCAGCGCGCTTTAAGATGCAATCCGACGGCGTTCAGTGAGGAAGGTGATGGAATGGATGGAGGGACAGGGGCTGGGAATGGTGCTGATGTTGTTGCAGGGGTAGGTAAGGCAGAGTAAGGTGGAATGTGATGGTGGGTGAGGGTGTCTGATGGGTGCAACGTGGATGAGAGGCAGTGGGGTATGGGGCACATGCGAGAAGTGGTGAAATGGGCATGGATGAGGATAGGTGGAGGGTGGTAGGAGCAGAGGTCTGGTGGCCGGACAGTTGTGCCGATGGAGGAGCACAGTGTAGCAGCACCCAGCCTGATGATGATTGACTGGCTCTGTGTTCCAAAGGAAGATTTGATTCCTCGTGCTCTAGATTTGGCCACGTGGTGTCCCCTCCACCCCCCCCCCCCAATTATTCTGTGAGAATGATGCAAATCTGGCTGGGTGTCCCTGAGAGCCCGACGGGCAACGGGGCGTTTGGCAGGCAAGGAGAAAGCTCTCGAGTTCAAACCCTGGTCACGGTGCTCACACCTCACTCTTACCCTCTCCCCTCCACACACCCCCACCTCCCCCGCACCCCCCTAATTCCCAGCTCGGCCTTGGACAGGCACCGCGCCATGAAGGTTGCGGTGAAGAAGCTGTCGCGCCCGTTCCAGTCGCTGATCCACGCCAAGCGGGCCTACCGCGAGCTGCGTCTTCTCAAGCACATGAACCACGAGAACGTGAGTGTGCAGGTTCCCTCTCGCTCCCCCCCCCCCGCCTTCCTCCTCCTCCTCCTCGCATCATCGCCAGCGCTCGCCAGTTTTTACTAAGTTAGGGTAGAACCGCATCGAGTAGGGCACGGGTCAAAACGTTCCGACGACAAACGGTACAAAAAAACACGATAGAAGCGCAAAGTATAGTAAGGGTAAAGAAATTGCTTTAAAAAAATGTATACAAATAAAACTAAACCATTTTTTTTATCTTACTGGGTCAAGCCCACTGAGAGACGTTGGCTTTTTTTTTTACAGAAGCAACCTGGCCACAAAAAGGTAGCTCAACGATGGGGCTCATCACCACGTGCAAATTTCTAGCAGCAAAATCATCTCAATTATAATCTAAGCGCACGTTTCTAAATGTGGAGGGGAAAAAAACAGAGGACGTGGCTGGAGAGAGACGCACACTTCAAATCAGTTCATCACGGCGTTTGTGCGACAGTTCCCAATGATGCAACACAAAGGAAACGCAAAGATAGTGTAGCTTGCTAACATGATGATGCAACACAAAAGAAACACAGAGATAGTGTAGCTTGCTAACATGATGATGCAACATAAAAGAAACACAAAGATAGTGTAGCTTGCTAACATGATGATGCAACACAAAGGAAACACAAAGATAGTGTAGCTTGCTAACACGGCCCTGGCTCTGTGCCCGGGGGAGCTGTCACACACACACACCTCTTGAGACTTTATTAATAACAATACGGACTTAAAAATTACGGTCAAATGCGTCATTATTTCAATACGCAGAGGTCACCGTGATGCTACTCCCAATGAGTTTTAATTTGGTTTTCACGCTGGAACTGTGTTCACCTTTTGCTATATTTAGTCAAACCCAGGACTGCCTTGAGAAAAAAAAAACTGACTAAATAGTCAAACGACAGAACCGATAATAGTAGGTGATCGCTTACTTAGGTAATGAGACAACCCAAACTCTGCTCGTAACGACGATCCCTGGTTTCCTAGTTCGTAGTGTGGTGCGCGCTAACCACGGAGGCACATCTCCGCCCCGTGGCCTCTTAGGCGTTACAAAAAGCTTCGTCTGTCCGTACCCTCAAGGTAATAATGTCACAAGAGCGGCCTAATTGAGTCCCCGACCACGATTAATCAGATTATGGTGATGCCGCACACTGGCAGAGGTGCACACGCGCAAAGTACGGTCGACTCGATTATCCGAGTGCGGTTTATCCGATTTGCGGACGAACCCCGCGCACCTGAGATTTTGACATGAATCATGGATTTTCCACTAAGCCCATATTAATAATCTAAAAACAGTTATGCATTGTTATTCTTGGACATGTTTATCACAAGTTACGTGCTTAACAAATATGTGCTCCTGTTAATCCGAAATCCACGTGATTGCCTCTGCAGTACAGTAGTTGCATATCTTTACAACAGTGGGTGGCGGAGTTGGATTGATGTTGATTGGCGTGGCTCTGCTGTCATCCACTTAGTGGGCTGAGTCTTCTGCGTGGGAGCAGGAAAGTGATATTATCACTGAGCATGCGCATCCATCGGTCGATCCATTAGTATTCGTTATAAATTGATACCTATATTCGTGTTTTTTGGAATAGAGATCCGCAGAAAATGGTTATATTTTTGGATTATCCGCGGCTATCCCTCCCCATCATTAGCACGGGTAATCGAGAGCTTACCGGAACAAAAAACGCAACACATTCTTCGATAACACTGATCTTAAACGGACACACACACACACATATATAATAGGTGACTATTTCGGGCAATACTCCTTCACAGCGCACAGAGAGAGACTGGGCCTCTCTGTGACTCCTACTTCTCTGGCCTCTCTCCGCGCTGTGACGAAAAGAGCCATTGGCCCCGAAACGTCACGAAATATATATATTTTTCTTTTAAAGGCCACAGCGTTCTTCACTGTGATCACTTTATTTTTATAAAAGCTTCAGACTTGCGTCAAACAGCTGTTCCAACACACAGGCTCCGCACGAGTCTTTTTGAACTCGCTCATGGCCATTAAGTATGAAAAATACATGGCCGTCGAGTATGAAAAATACAAAATAGGGTTTAACCACTTTCTGGCAATAAAACAGGTGTTATGGTGTTCAAACACCAAATAGAAACCTTTTGCAAGGAACCATGTCTGCATTAACCGCATGTACTTGTGGTAACCGTGCAAACAAACATGCTCTGATAATAAATGTCATTGTCTTTGAAACTGATTGGCCTACACAAGAGACAGCCTTCTTTAGGGCCTAGTCTCACCAGTTTCAGACTAGAGAACAACGCCAGAAGGTGAACATCGCAAAGCCAATGCCACTATCAGGGCATTTATAACTCGGGGTGAGCAGCAACAAAATGGGACCTTTTTTCCAGTACCAAAGTATGAAAAAATAAGAATAGGTTTTACCCTTTCTGGCAATACAACAGCTGTTAAGATTTCGATTTAAAGCTTTCGTGACTGCAGGGATTCATCTTCTTGGTTCTTTCGGTAAAGTCACGTAGAAGGGAAATAATGAAATAATGAAAATAAAACATAATAAAATAATTCTCAAGACGTTTCGGCCACAACGCAAGCAGCCGTCCTCAGGTGAAGAACAGGTCTGTCGAGAAGATTCAGACTCTCTTCAGATTCAGACTCTCTTCTCGACAGACCTGTTCTTCACCTGAGGACGGCTGCTTGCGTTGTGGCCGAAACGTCGTGAGAATTATTTTATTATGTTTTATTTTTATTATTTCATTATTTTCCTTCTACGTGACTTTACCGAAAGAACCAAGAAGCTTTTAAGATGTTCAAACACCAAACAGAAACCTTTTGCAAGGAATCACGTCTGCACGAACCGCACGCACTCGTGTTGAACACGCAAACAAACGTGGCCGTTAAGACCGCGACCCCCAACAAATTGGGGTTTAACGCAAATCGACAAAAAACGCGGCGGTCGCACGCGTCGAGCCCCACACACTTTGTGGTGGTGACGTGGCCCAGCGCTGGCGCTTTTGCCGCTCATTGCAGAGCTTCATAAGCAAACACAAAAGATAAAGAGTCCACGTGCAGCCTCTAACGAACTGTTGGGGGCAGTGCTGTTTTCCGCTTGTTGCAGAGGCTTGCAAGCCAGTCCTGGTGTGGACTCTGGCATGTGTTAACCGTACAAATACGCTCTGTCTGTTTCCCGGTGGACGTTAAAAGATCACCCAGCGTTATTGGAACCGGGTAGGCCCTTTTTGCGTAGTCCAAATTTTACGAACTCGGAAACATTCTCGCAAAAATCGCTCAATTGGGACCACGCTTGGCAGCAGTTGCTCCTGACCGGCGGACCATATGCGCTACGAGAACAGTTGCTGCGAATACAAAATGTGCTCAATTACTCATAATTACCCGTGTGTACGTGCACGCACCTGCTGCCCCCGGAATCACTCCCACCACATTGACTCACCTCGATTTGAGTTTACGCACCTCCGTTGCCAATCCCAGCCCTGGGGGGAGGGGGGGGAAACGAAGCCACCCAGGAGTGTGGTTCTGACGCCAGCGCGTGTGTGCATAGGCCGGCCCAAAACAGCGTACAGCAGAGCGCAATGCTCCCGTCGTTCCAATGCAGGGTAATAGAGGAAGCTGTGTCTGTGCACGTCTGTGCTTGCCCTCTCCCTGCAGGTAATTGGGCTGCTGGATGTCTTCACACCTGACAAGTCTCTGGATGTATTCAACGACATGTGAGTTCCCTGCCGTGTGCGCGCGTGCACATGCATGCACCGTACGTGCTTGCGTGTGCTTGCGCGCGTACGGACATTAAAAAGACCGATTCAGATAATGGTCACAGGCGTTGGCCGTAGTCGGAAATGGAGCTCGGGTCTCCGGGTTCATAGCGCAGCGCATGGACCGCCACTACTCTACCGCTCCCCACTCTGGTCACAACAACAAAGACAAAGATCCCCCGTATAGTCTTTAACAGACTGTTGGGGCAAGTGCTGTTAGCGGGGCTATCTGTTGAGGCCAGCACAACACGCCAGGGTGTGGGTGGCCAGCGCCACACCTGTTCGCATGCGTCATCTCCCCAGTGCCAATATTTACACACCACGCCACCCAGTGACTCTTTTAAGGCCGAGTCGGCCTCGGTGAGGGCCCAGGACCGGGTTTAAATATTCGTCAGCATTGCTGGCTTCAAATAGGGGTCGCTGGGTTCATAGCATAATGCTGTAACCACTACGCTACCTCTCCGCACGCACGTACATGCGTATGCGTACGCGCTGAGAGTGTCAGGTTTCAGGTACTCGTGATTCGATGAGTTGTCACGAGTCAGGATATCGAAACGTGCATTGAGATTGTTTCGATAATTTTGCTGCTTTAAATGTCCACTTTGTTGAGCACTCATTTGTGGCCAGGTTGCTTCTGAAAAATAAGTTAACACTTATTTTGATTGTGTTTGTGTGATTTGTTTACCTTTCTCGTACTTTGCACTACTATTGTATGTTTGTACTGTTTGTTGTTGCAACGTTCTTACCTCGTGCCCCTACTGGATATCTTTGAAAGAAAAATTTATAGCTCATCCGATTCCTCCAGCATAAATAAAGATTCTGATTAAGTGTCGGTTATGTTTGTTATTGTTTCGTATCGCTCATGTGGATCGACTGTCGCATCGGGCCCATCTAGTTTGGACAACCATCACTCGATTTGCGAACGTTCGCTTGAGGAAATTTTGCCTTGACGCGATTGACAAATTACGGAGACCTTTCGATAAGCGAAAATCTAATTTCCGCGTGAACGAAATTTCTCTCCGACTGTGTCATCATCCGTCCACGACATCGTCGTCATGGTTTCTCTGCAGTGCAACAAGTAAAGCCTCCACATCCCCTCTAGAGTCATTCGAACATGCAGCAGATCTTTTGGCGAGTTCCCTGAAAAGTCTACTCTTGGTTCTTTCGGTAAAGTCACGTAGGTGTAAAATAAAATAAATTAAATCGCGACGTTTCGATCGCCACACAAGAAATCATCATCATTAGTTTGAAATTAATAATTGTTCAATCGTTTTCATATTTATGTTCTCTATTACTGCTACTACCATTTTTATGTCGTCAAAAGTGATAAAGTCGTTTTATCCTTAGGGTTTGGAGTAGAGTTGGAATTACTGTCCAAAACGAGTCCCTAATTTTACGGATTAAATTAATGGAAAATCCATTTCCGACTTACGAAATGGCTTTGTGCGTGTGTCTTTTAAACAACACACAGCCCTTTCGAACGGCCGTTTTGTCAATCCGTGCTGTGTGGATTGCGGTGCTCAGGTACACCGTGTTATTGAATTTTACCAGGTAAGGCCCCACTGAGCCATGTAGCTTCTTTACCAGAAGCCACCTGGCCACAGATGATAGCTCAGCGATGTGGCTTTTTGTCATCGCGTGGAAATTGATAGCAGCAGCGTGACCTTGATTCTAAATGGGGAATGGGGATAAATCGGAGGACCCGGAGAAAAATCCACGTGACCACGGGGAGAACATGCAATATGCCAAACTGATAGGTGTCACTTGGTGGAGGTACAGCCCATAGATGAGGGAGCATAGAAGTAGAGTACAGCAATGGATTTAGCTTCACTGCCCTCTTCTGCCAGCAACCTAAGCCCTGCTTGTACTGTCTGTTGCGCTCGGTAATATGCCGCTCATCCAAGAACCATCCAGGCCCAAGCTAATTCGCTGTCCTGATATCTAACAAGATGGGGCGCTTTCCGGGCGATTGGGTCATTCGCCACATTTTGTTTCTCGTCTGTCTCGTTTGTTTGCGCTTATTTAGTTTGTCCGCCTCAGGGGTAACGTTTGCAGAAAATGTGAATAATAACTTATGATGCGCACGACTCAATGCCTACATCATGAGAAAAATAATCTGTCAACAATATAATAATAGGGTTTTCCCCCTTTTTTCTGGCAACAAATCTGAAACCTTTTTACAAAGAATCATGTGTGCATTAACCACAATACTTGCGGTCAAAATGCAAACAAACAACACACTATGATAATACTTGTATAGTCCTTGAAAGGTTTCAGTTTTGTTGTCAGAAAAAAGGGGAAAAACCCTATTATTATGTTTTGGTACTGGCAAAGGAGGTCTAATGATGTAAATATATGAACAGTTACATGTCAAGACAAAGATCCCCCTTGTAGCCTGAAAAGACTATTGGGGCAAGTGCTGTTAGCGAGCACCTATGAAGGCCGGCACGGCATGCCAGTGGGTTGGTGGCCAGCATCACCCCCTGCCGCCTTAATCTCCCCAGGGGCGATGTTTACTACACACCGCAACCAGGTGCTCATTTGAGGCTGAGTCCACCTAGGGGAGGCCTAGGACTGGTTCAGATAATGATCACCAGTGTTGGCCGTGAACGGGAATCGAACCCGAAGCTGCCAGGTTCATAGTGCAGTGTGCTAACCGCTACACCGACGCTTCCCAAAACCACACATGCACACACGCACGTGTGTGGCGGCTTCCCCTCTCGACTCGCTCGACAACGCTCGACAACGCGCGTGTTGTCTTCCCAGGTACCTGGTGACGCACCTGATGGGCGCCGACCTCAACAACATCGTCAAGTGCCAGAAGCTGACCGACGACCACGTGCAGTTCCTCGTCTACCAGACCCTTCGCGGCCTGAAGGTGAGCGGCGTCCTTGCACCGGGCGGGGGGGGCGGTCGTGCCCAGCGGGTTAACCCTGCCCAGGGAGGCGGCCCTGCCTAGGAGAGAGCAGTTGTGCTCATGGGGGCATCCCTGCCCAGGGTGAGTGCCGTACTTGCCCAGAGGGGGTGGGGGGGGGGGTAAGCCGTGCCCCGGGGATGGCGGCCATGCCCCGGTAGGCAGCCGAGCCCAGAGGGGGGCGGTCAGTGCCCGGGTGGGCAGCCCTGCCTAGGGTGGCCGTGCCCCGGTAGGCAGTCCTACCTAGGGTGGCCGTGCCCCGGTAGGCAGTCCTGCCTAGGGTGGCCGTGCCCCGGTAGGCAGCCCTGCCTAGGGTGGCCGTGCCCTGGGAGGCAGCCGAGCCCAGTGGGGGGTGGCCGTGCCCGTGAAAGGGGGGATGGGGGGGAGGTCTGCACCGGGTAATGATCCTGGCCAGTGGGGTGGCGGTGCACACTTGGCAAGATGACAAGCTCGCCACGCGCCACACACTGCGCACGTCAGCCGTGACAGTCGACTGTCAAAATGATGAAACCGCGAGAAATGTTGTCAATACCATGCCCTCAAAAGTTTATGTTCTTTGTGCTGATGCACCACTGCCAGTGCAGTATCACAAACAAAACGAATTGAGTACTCTGTTTTTGCTTCGATTCATACAATTCGGCATAAATCATTCCCACACATGAGGCTGAAAACGTGTGTTGACCCAGACCATCATCATCATCACCACCACCATCATCACCACCACCACCACCATCATCACCACCACCACCATCATCATCATCATCACCATCGCCACCACCATCATCATCATCGCTTTTTGTTACCGCGTCACGCGGTGATTTTGCGGCGTAACAGCGGATGTCGTATATCCTGCCGATCGATTGTAAAACAAGAATAAATAGTAAACTCTTACTTCGAAACGATTTTATTGACTGACCGTTCCAGCGGCACCACTCGCGACGCTCGCCATCACGGCTCTGGCGGAAGGGAACTTCAATAAGATTACGGTGGATCGGTGCACCGTCTGTGAAAGCGGCGGCGGCAGAAGGAGTGAAAGCCCCTCCTTGCTGCCACTACTCGGAATCTTTATTTATTATTTTATTCTGGAGAAATCCGACGAGCCATGAAGCTCTTTTTCACAGATGTCCAATAGCCACCTTCCTGGTTGCACTTGTGTGTGTGTGTTGAACTTGGGGAGCGGTAGTGTAGCAGTTAGCGCGCTGCGCTATGAACCTGGCGACCCGGGTTTGATTCCCGCTCACGGCCAACACCAGTGACGAACCGGTCGCGGGGCTCCCCTAGGTCGACTCAGCCTCAAACGAGTACCTAGTGCGATGTGTAACCACCGTCACTAGGGAGACAAAGGCGGCCGGGCGTGGTGCTGGCCACCCACCCCCTCGTGTGCCATGCCGGCCTTCATAGGTGCTCGCTAACAGCACTTGCCCCTACAGTCTGTTAAGGCTAAATGGGAGATCTTTGTCTTTGTTGAACTTCTCTCGCATCGTGCGTAGCCAACCGTGCTTATCGGAGGTGCGGAAGGGAAGGACAACAAACAACACAAAAACTGTGTTTTATAGAAGTGAGTTTTGAGTCTTGGCTATAATAACCCCATGCACCGTGTTTTGTGTCTCCCTGCAGTACATTCACTCGGCCGGAATCATTCACAGGGTGAGTCTCACTGCCTTCCATGTGCCAGCCAAACTCTGCACGGCGTACAAAACGAATCTATCCATAATAGAGGTTTTTTTGGGTTAAATTGCGTGAATATAAATGTGTCGTCAAACCCGCCGCCACCCGACACTGCCAGTTCGTAAAGTTTGTCACGTTAACAAAAACGTGCCAATTGGTTACGAGTTCAGCGCATCTGGTGTGTTGGAGAGTAAAACCCACAACATTTACAATTCGAGTATAACGTTTTGCCAGTAATTACAACCAGCATCATTAGGCGACAGCGAGACACAAGGAGCCCGAAAGAGCCTCTCTAGAGCAGTGTTTTTCAAACTTTTCTCATCTCCGTAGACCACTGTATAAACTGTTAACTTATTTTTTATTTTACCGGCTAAGGCCCCATTGAGCCTTAGAGGGAGAGAACTCTTTTTTTTCAGAAGCAATCTGGTTTTCATAAATGATAGCTCAACGAATTGGCTTCTGATCGTCGCTTAGCAGCCAAATAACTCTATAAACACGTGACGTTGATTCTAAATGTGGAGGCAAAAAACCGGAGGGTCCTGAGAAAAATTGACGCTACCACACGAAGAGAGAGAGAGAGAGACATGCACACTCCAAATATACGCGTGTCAGGGTTTGGATTGAACCCACGTGGGAATGATGCCCCACGCTTCGAAGTGGACAGGGGGGAAAAGTACGGAACATAAAAAATATACACGCAACATTGCCGATGCTTTAGAGAGGATGGAGAGGAAACTTACGAGGACTTTAATTCTAGATTTGAAGCTTTCGTGACTGCAAGGATTCATACTCTTAGTGTTTTTCGGTAAAGTCATGTAGGTTAAAAATGAAATTAAAATTAATAAACGTAAAAGAATAAAAATCACGACGTTTCGGAGGCAACACAAGCTTCCGTCTTTAGGTGAAACCGTCACAGCAAAATATCTGTATCAAGTGAAAAGAAGTCCCAAGAGGCACGACCTTATATAGTGGTTAAGGGGGGAGGAGCCAAGATGGGCCACGGGAGAGGAGGAGTTGTGAGATGGTCAGTACGGCTGCTGGAACTGAGCCTTTGTAATGTAGATGGCGGAAGTAGATAAGCCAGCTTTTAATTTCATTTTTTACCTACGTGACTTTACCGAAAAAACTAAGATTACTAGGACTTTGCCCGGTGTTCGCTGTGGGTCCCCCGGGAGCAGCGCTGGCAGGGGATGGCGTGACCCTCGTAAGACTCTGCGCGGTATTCCCACCTCCTCCCCACCCCCCCAAGGATCTGAAGCCCAGCAACCTGGCGGTGAATGAAGACTGTGAGCTCAAGGTTAGCGACTGTCGCAACAACATCACACCCGACGACTACAGATGTTGTGCACTTCATATATACATACACAGTTGGCTCTCGATTATCTGCGCCCATGATGGGGAGGACAGCTGCAGATAATGAAAAATCGTGGATAATCCAAAAATATACAATTTTCCACGAATCTATGTGCCTAAAACCCACTAATGTAGGTACACATTATGATTGAGTTCAGTTTAGTTTGTGAATGAACGAAAACAAATGATTGCTCGATCAATTCACGTGCTCGGTGATACTAACAATTTCCTGCTCCTGAGCAGGAGACTAGGCCCACTCAGTGGACAGCAGCAGAGCCACTCCAATCAACACCAATCCAACTCCGCCACCCGCTGTTGTAAAGATATGCAACTACTATTACGTCGCTTTTTTTTTTAAAGACAGTCCTGGGATTGACTAAATATAGCAAAGGATGAACAAAGTTCCAGTGGGCAAACAAAATGAAAATGCATTGGGAGACGCATCACGGTGACATCTGCGGAGCCTGAGGCTCACCAAGGAGGGTTCCTGCAGCGTTCAGATATTTGGTTAACCCTTGGGTGAATGTTTGACGTGTGGGACGAAATCAGAGTGCCTGGGAGAAAACCCACAGGCACGAAGAGAGAGCACTTTTTTATTTAGCAAATGCTTTTTACACAGAGCACCAGATACACGGGAAAAATAAATACATAATTACATGGATACGTCAATGTTATGTGATACAGGTCAGCACAAACAGGTTCAGTGAAGCCACCTGATGCACTACAGCCTCAAGGCCTTCTTTGTAGCCTCGTGGATTTTCCAATTTCACGAATCCGCGACCCACCAATCCTTCCCCACCCAGAGTGATGGATGACTGGCGTGTGTGACCACGCTTGGCTCGAAACACGCGGAGTGCTGCTTGTTGCAAACGAACCACAATAACTCATACTCTTAGTTCTTTCGGTAAAGTCACGTAGGTAAAAAATGAAATTAAAATTAATAAAAAATAAAAAAAATAAAATCACGACGTTTCGGAGGCAACACAAGCTTCCGTCTTCAGGTGAAACTGTCAAGTGGACGTCGTGATTTTATTGTTTTTATTTTTTATTAATTTTAATTTCATTTTTTACCTACGTGACTTTACCGAATGAACTAAGAGTATGAATCCTTGCAGTCACGAAAGCTTCAGATCTAGAATGAACCACAATAACATCGCTGACCATCTCTTCAGGGAGCTATAAACCATCGCGCGAACTGCGTTCATCCCCGTAGCAGCGGCGGCGTTTAGGCGAGCTGTCGAATAAAGACGGTGGTCGCCGCATCGCGCGCTTTCGGATGCGCTTGTGCGCTTTCGGATGCGCTTGTGCGGCCGTCGTGAAAGCTCTTCATTCCGTTATTAGGAAGCCACTGCAGCTGTGCGCTTTTAAGTGATTTAGATTGAAAACTCATTTCTTCTCCCGCCGCATCTCCGATTAGCGTGGTTGGCTACGTACGGTGTGAAAGAAGTTCTACATACACACATACTTACGGAGTCTCTTCAATAGCAAAAGACAACCCCCCCCCCCCGCTTCGTCCCCCCAAAGCCTACACAGACATCAACTCTGATCTCGCTCTAACACATGGATTCGGTGACAGCCACCATGCCAAGAGGGTGGGTGCGGTGATCCGTTGGTTTGGATCTCGCCGTGGAAAAGTTGATTGGTTTGGGGTGTGGGGTGGAGGTGCAATGTATTGATGTAGAGCTGCGACATCCCATTGTTTAAATAATCGATTGTCGGCTCCGTTTGTCGACTGATTGGATAACTCTAAAACAATTCGAAGAAAAAAAAGGTCGCGCTTGTTTTCTGGCACGCCACCGGACAGAAGGTGATGGGCGAGGCTTGGTGATGTCACCTACATGACCAGCCATGTGACACTAGCTGCAGCTTGCAGGGGGTTTCCCACCTTTGGTGGACAGCTGCGATAATCTAAAGCAGTGGCTGTTAACCTGCGGTGCACGCTGCACCCCCTTGGGGTGCCAGATGCCCTTTCTGGTGGTGCGAGTCGTGACCAGGTGGTTTTTTAAGGTAAATCCTCGAAAACACATGAAGCACGGGCACGTCAGTGTCATCTTACTTGGTTTCATCAAACCTACGTCTTTATTAAGATTATATATTTTTTTTACGATTCAGAACCAAGTTCAAGTTCATTCATTAGGTTTAGCCCTGTGAGCCATTCGGCTCTTGAATCGGGTGCAACCGCAACAAACAAAAAACTTAAACATGAACAAGAAAACATCTTAAAGTGACTATGTGCAAACAGAAAATCCAAGAAAAGACAGCAAAATATTGCAGAAAAATCACCGTACACCAACGCTGTGTGCAAAAATCCCAGTGGGATACAAGTCAAACAACAACAACAACCACAAGACAACTTAGATTAAGGCCATCAGTCTAACTTTGTACTACAACAAACAAACATGGCCAAACCAAAAAACTTTTCGAAAATCACCAAAATAAAGCCATAAAAGCAATGAAACAGTGATCATAGGAACTGTGACCGAATTTTCACAATAAACGACATAAACAACATGTACTACCAAACCCTGCAGCCATAGCTGGCTGCATGAGTCACTCCACAACAGTAGGAGCATCAGTCGGAGTATCAACATTTTTCAATGCACCTTTAAGATCAGCACACTAAATCAAAACACAGATCATACTTTGCAGCGATCATCTGGATCGAAACATTGTATTTAGGCCACTAAGGGGTGCAGGCTGCATTAAAGGTGAAGAACCACACTGTTTTGATTTAAAGCTTTCGTGACTGCAGGGATTCATATTCTTGGTTCTTTCGGTAAAGTTACGTAGAAGGGAAATAATAAAAGAATCAAATATAAAACAATAATTATTCTCACGACGTTTCGACTGCAACACAAGCAATCATCATCAGGTGTGTTGCAGTCGAAAAGTCGTGAGAATTTTTATCGTTTTATATTTTATTATTTGATTATTTCTCTTCTACGTGACTTTACCGAAAGAACCAAGAATATATAACCACACTGCTCTAAAGCAGGGGTGGGGAACGTCCGGCCCACGGGCCGTATAAGGCCCGCTAAATAATTTGGTCTGGCCCTGCCAAGGCAACCGCACGACTCGAAATTGAATAAATCTAGGCGCTTTTTTCATAGCAACATGAATGTAATTTTGTACGGCCCACGAATGATGTTATAAATATCTAAATGGCCCTCGGCAGAAAGAAGGTTCCCCAGCCCTGCTCTAAAGGAACGGAGGCTCCAGGAAGCCGACCGCGAGGAGAGCAAGCGGTCGATTGAAACAATTTCTAGTCGGATTTTCACTCTTCAAGGTTCTAATCGTGCACCAGCTCTGTAAAGAACGGTGGCGTCGACGTGACGCGGCCCCCTGGCGACGCTGTCTCCGTATAGATCCTGGACTTTGGGTTGGCGCGGTTGACGGACGAGGAGATGACTGGCTACGTGGCCACCCGCTGGTACCGCGCGCCCGAAATCATGCTCAACTGGATGCACTACAACCAGACCGGTGAGCTACGTGGCGTGCGCCGAGTTCACACAGCCGCTGCGTCAGTTTAACACGTATTGCCCGATGATGCTGGATGCAATTACCAGCGAAACGTCGTACTCAAATTGTAAATGTGGTGGTTTCACGCTTCAACACACCGGTGGGCTAAAGCAGTGAACTATTTGTCTTTTGTCAACGTGACACTTTTTTACTGATTGGCCGTGTCGGGTGGTGGAGGGTTACGACACATTTATAAATAATGCGATCTAAACCCAAAAACGTTGATTATGAATAATATTGGTCGCGAAAGCCTACGTGTTAAACTGACGTAGTAGTAGTAGGAGTAGTCGTTGTGCTGTTGCGACCAATATTTATCCATGAGAGAGATTTTTTTTGGGTTCGGTCGTGTGAATATAAATGTGTCGTTAAACCCGCCACCACCCAGCCAATTAGTGAGGTTTGACACGTGAACGAAACATGCCGATTGGTTACCAGTTCAGCACACCGCTTGTGTGTTGGAGAGTAAACCCACAACATTTACAATTCGAGTCCCGTGACACTTCACCGGTAATTACGACGAGCATCATCAGGCGAATTGTCTCCAACACACCGGTGTGCTGAATTAGTAACTTTAATTGGCTGTGTCGAGTGGTGGCTGGTTTAACGACACATTTATATTCACGCGATCTAACCCCCAAAAGAACTCTTTTGGAGCCATCGCATGTGCTGTGTGCAGTGTTCAGCCTGTGCAGTGTGATACGAACCACGTGTAACGAACGCGTGGTGCGTTGTGACCCATATGATGTGCGGCGGTGTGTCGTGCTGCTCGTGCGATGCGGTGTGTCCCATATGACATGTGGGTCGTGGTGTGTTGCGGTGACCCTGTGGCGCGTGGCGTGACCTCCGTGATGTGACCAGGGGTGTCCGTGGCATGCGGCAGGGGCGCAATGTGTAGTGTATGCGCAGTGTGGTGTGACTTATGGTGTGACCCGCGTGTGCTGTGCGTGGTATGACCTGTGCCATTTTCAGTGGACATCTGGTCTGTGGGCTGCATCATGGCTGAACTCCTGACCGGACGGGCACTTTTCCCTGGGACTGACTGTATCCTTCTAAAACCTGCTTCTTTTGAAAGGGGGGGGCGGGGGGGGGGGAACGTTAAACGGCGTACGTGTGTGCAGGTGGCTGGCTGGGTGGCCCCCGGGGGCCTCATCTCATGCCAGAGAGACACCGAGTGGACAACCACTGTGGGTTGGGTGTGAATGTGACTTTCAGCTGCACGCGGTTCAACTCTGAGTTGGTGGTCTCGGCCCAATGGATCGTCGAGGGCTACGTAAGAACCACCGTCACTTAAAATGAGTTTTTGTCACATGATTGTCATTAATTCCGGCTCTGAGGCATTCACGTTTTGGTTCGATTGAAATTTCACCGTCTGCAGGGAATCTAAAACTCGTATCTCCCAAAGTGGCTGTAGAAGTTACTTACGAAGTACTTTTAAAGACATCATCTACCCGTGCCATTCTCCAACACAGGGCAGTGCACCGTTCCCTGTGAGAATTTCTCAAATGTGAGTGTCGTCATCCTACGATCACGCTGACAGTCTAGTGGGAATATAATTGTGAGAAATGTCGGCGTTTCAGTACGCGTCACCTCTGCTGGAACTCGCTTGTCTCAGTGGCCCACAAGCCTCCTCATGCCAGCAGCACAGAAGTCTCGTGGCTCATCCGTAAGCCGCGACTTTATTCAGCATTGTCATTCATTCGCAGTTGCATCACCTCTTCTTGGTTCTTTCGGTAAAGTCACGTAGAAGGGAAATAATTAAAATTTTACATAATAATTTTTTTATTATGTTTTATAAAATAATATATTATGTTTTATTTTTATTATTTTATTATCTCCCTTCTACGTGACTTTACCGAAAGAACCAAGAAGATGAATCCCTGCAGTCACGAAAGCTTTAAATCGAAAGTTGCATCACCGTCAACCGCCTTCCACTCGGCGCTTCTCTCGGAACGTTGCGTGGCCGGACGTCTGAAGGGGCTATGTCTGGGCTCCCTGTCAGGGGTTTGCAGAACGACCCCATCCAAGCTTTCCCGACAATTCCACGGGTGCTGAATCGCCACTCTGCCCCATTTCTCCGCAGGCCACACGGCATTTCTCCCGAATATCAAACCTTCGCATTGTTCTCCAGCAAGTCGCAGAGCAAGCGCACCGTGGTGACAATCTGTCGGCGTTTATTGAAGGCAACGGTTACGGGACTCCCTGCACGTCGCTAAAGCGCGTTGCCGTCGTTTTGATGGGACGTTGTAGGGAACAGATTTCATCTCTTTCCTGGAGAACCTAGACACCCTAGCGTCAAGGGCGCTATAGTATCAAAAGATAAATCATCACCGAGGTTGACGTTTGATGATGGGCGTGAAGGAATTTAGCACCCAGTCAGCAGTCTTCAAGTTCAAGTTCATTTATTAGGTATAGCCATGTGAGCCATTCGGCTCTTGAATCGGGTGCAACCACAACAAACAAAAAACAAAAACATGAACAAAAAAACATCTTAAAGTGAATATGTGACTGAGTGCAAACGGAAAATCCAAGAAAAGACAGCAAAATATTGCAGAAAAAACACCGTACACCAACGCTTCGGGGTAAGTATGTATGTTGAACATCTTTCGCATTGTATGTAACCCATCACGCGGGAGCAGCACGTTGAATCGTCCGTGACGAGTTGACTTTCCCAAAGGTGCGTGTCTCCCGTTGCGCCCAAAATATTAACGGAGGAACAACATTTTTACGGGATTTGCTGTGCCTTATCACCCAAGATTCCTGTGTGAAGGAAAGCGAATTTCTGTCTCGCTCCATCACAGCTGATGAAACTCGAAACCCCTCACTGAACCAGAGAGTTAGCACGTCAGCCAATAATGTAACCGTGACTTTACATCGCATCTCGTATCAAACAGCTGAAATGGCATCCAAAATATTGGCAAATATTTTTTTTAAATGTATCCCCCGCGAGAGTAACTTTTAACATGGCCCTGAAGCCATCGGGTCCCCCGATAATCACGTGGTAGACCGGCCCACTGGGCATTCTCAACACGCACGGCCCCTTCGATGTCCTTGGCTATAGAGTGACGCACGAGTGTAAATTTAGTTGTGATTTTTTTGTTGTTGTTGCGCTATGCAAGTGTGGCTTGCCAAACGAGTCTAACTTGCGGGTGCGCCTGCGTAGGGCGCGGCCGAGACGGTGAATTCACATTTCTCTAAAACTGCTTTCGTCATCCACGCTGGGCACAAATGACAGATCACGCCGGCATCTCGGAGCAACCGATGGGCATTTATTTTTTTGCAAAACAACCTGCAGTTGGTGATAGCAAATAAAATGTGTCAAAACAAACGCAACCCCCGCAATTGCTCGCTCGCCCGCCACGAGCTGGGCGGAACGGAAGGATGGGTCTCCACTCGAGGAAGCTCTCGAGCAGTGGTTCTCAACCGGGGGGGGGGGGGGGGGGATACGTAGACCTCTGGGGGTACAACGTGGCAATGTTCCCAGGGGGGGGGGGGGGTACGTGCGTGTGGTGATTTATAAATGCGTGAAATTATGTCGCACGTGAGAGTCATTGCAGACTAATCCTGTATGAATCGGCCAGTGTAAAATAACTCCCGATGAAATTCAAATCCTTGTGGTAACCTAAAACGACATGAAAGGCTTTTCTAAACTCTCCGATCGTAAACAAAGTGGGTTACCGAGAGTAACCAGCGAGCGCGAACAAATGACGCCACTCTTGCAGAGTGTCCATTGAATTTATTTTTGTTCCCTTGCAAGTTGCTAGCTAGTTAGGATACCTCACAAAATGAACAAATGGTTAAAATATTGGTGCTCAATATTCATACATTTATTTCTCAACCAAGTTGGGTCCGGCAAGGGTTGGTTGAAGCAAAATTCAACAACGAGGTCACAGTAGCCAAAAAAGTTTGAGAACCACATTTTTGGCACAGCAGCCAAAACAGTTTGAGAACCACATTTTTGGCCTACTCTTCATCTTGAAAGAGGTGGAAGTTCCCACCCTTTAGCTCACCGCACATGATCTGCCAACTTACGGACCCATTAATACTTCTTGGTGGAAAGAAGTGGGGAGAATAAACATTTTTTATCGCCCATTGTTTCAACTGCCATGCCAGGAGGTCCACCACGTGACCCCCCTGAATTGCAAGTCCACTGCGCTAACCGTGACACCTCCAGCAGCCTGGAGGTGGAATGATGATAGCCTCCATGCCCGCCAGAATCGTTGCTCGTGCATTCAACCGAGCGTTTATTCAGGAAAGCCGCACCGAGTCAATACTTTTTTGTATGCAATAAGTTGTTTTGGCCATTTCTGTGTTTTTTGCTATGAGTTGGAGGTAATCGTTGTGTACAAATCTACGATGCTCACCGGGGCATTGTGCTCAAAGCTCCGTGCAGACTTGTGCACGAACCCGCTTGCTGTGCTGCCTTCTGGCCCGCTCACACCTCAGCGGGGGTTTTTTGAGAGTTTGGTGAATTTACACGGGGATCCCTCCCCAACCCTCGCCCGATTACAGGCCACATGCCGCCGTTCACGCCATTTGCCTCCCAACGTCTGGCATGTGCGGCGTCCATTAGGTGGCTCTCGTCGTCAGCGCCGGTCATGATCGATCCACTGCTGGACGGAGGTCTCAAGTCGTCTTCCCACTTGCAGGGCATGAATGTTTTTGTGGTCACCCACGTGCTCCGTTTCCTTGACACAGAGTGGCAGACATCGACCAGCTGAAGCTGATTATGCAACTGGTGGGGACACCTGGCCCTGAGCTCATGCAAAAGATTTCCTCTGACTCGGTGAGTGGGAAAATCCTGTGTGTGTGCATGCGTGTGTGTGCGTGAGCATGCGTGTGTGTGCATCTCGGTCATCTCAGTCAGTCGACCCGTGGCACCTGCTGGGTCTGCCCCGTGACCTCCTGCCAGCGGGCGTTCGACACTTCACGTGGCCTCAAGGTGCACATGGCCTGGCACAAGCGTCGTGGTGACGTCACCGCCACTTAGTGGCGAATGGCGGTTGTGTGCATCTACTGGTCATCTCAGGCGACCCGTGGCACCTGGGTCTGTCCCGAGACCTGTCAGCGAGCCTTCGACAATTCGCTTGCCCGCAAAGTGCACCTGGTCTGGCACAGGCGCCGTGGTGACTTCACCGTCATTTGGTGGCAAATGGCAGGTGTTGGTATTGGGGGGGCGGGGAGCGGTAGTGCAGCGGTTAGCACGCTGCGCTACGAACCCGCTGACCCGAGTTTGATTCCTACTCACAACCAATGTACCGGTCCTGGGCCTCCCGTAGGTAGACTCAGCCTCAAGTGTGGTGTGTCAACATCGTCTACTAGGGAGACAAAGGCGGCCGGGCGTGGTTCTGGCCACCGACCCCCTCGCGTGCCGTGGCGGCCTATATAAGTGCCGCTCACTAACGGCACTTGCCCCAAAAGTCTGCCGAGGCTATACGGTGGGGGGCATCTTTGTCTCTTGTTGCGATCGGCCCTGCGGGTGAACTTCACGGGCTCTTGACGCACGCCACCGGTTGTCTCGTGAAACCCGACCCGATGGCCGAAACTTTTTTTTAAGTGCTCCCATTAGCAGCACAGGCCGAGGAGCTGCCAAGAGAGGGGTGTGGGGTGGGGGGGGGAGGCCTCAAGTTCAGATTGCACGGCGATGATAAACGTGAGGCGGAAAAACCAGGTCGAAGTCACTCGGCTGGCGCGGGAGTGTCAGTGTCGTCTCGACCGATCAAGTTTGTTCAGTTTAACCCGGCGAGAACCGAGGATAGCCTCGATTTGACCTGGAAAACCCTGAACATTGGCCACCTGGGTAAGAACCATGAGTCCTAACCGCTAGGCCGTACGGGAGCTAATCGTGTGGTGCATCGACGAACCTCCCAGTGCTCCTCGCAGGCCAGGAACTACATCCAGTCGCTGCCCGTGATGAAGAAACGCGACTTCCGGGACGTGTTTCTCGGGGCGAATCCCAACGGTGAGTTTTCTTTTCTCCCCTTTTCACAATGAACAGCTTCGTCAGTTGCCGCTGCCCGATTTGCGTGGAGGCAGTTTTTCGCCGATTTCTGCTTCATGGCTGGGATCATATGCAGGACAACCTCGCCGGACGCGCGTGTCTAATCGAACGCGCGTGGTTCTCCGAGCGCGTGTGGTTTATGATTGATGTCGTTTTACTTGATGCGGTCTGTTTTCCGGAACATGGTGTGGGGGGGGGGGCGGTGAGGTTTCAGCCATGCGCAGTTTGACGTCACTCCGGTGGGCTACGTACGGTGCGTAGGAAGTTCGACAAACATACCTGACTGCTAGGACAGTTGCTACGTAGGCTTGCGGAGGTGAGAGTGCTGCACCCGTTGGAGACTACTGTGGTGTGAATTAATCATCTGTGAGAACGGTTTATTTACCATGGATCTTTTGTGGTTTTTTCGTTCGATGATGTAACACAACTACACTCAACACTTGCGCACAACGCAAATGTTCAAAAGACAAAGATCCCCCGTATAGCCTTAACAGACTGCTGGGGCAAGTGCTGCTAGCGAGTACCTATGAAGGCCGGCATGGCACACGAGGGGGTTGGGTGGCCAGCACCACGCCCAACTGCCTTTGTCTCCCCAGTGGCGATGTTTTTACACATCGCACCAGGTACTCATTTAAGTCCGACGATCTAGGGGAGGCCCAGGACCGTTTCAAGTAATCGAACTCAGGTCGGTGGGTTCGTAACGCAGCACAGCGCTAACCGCGACTACACTACCGCTCCCCCACAAACGTTCACACACATTGCTGCACGCATCCAGCCGTCCACTCGTTGAGGACACCAGTCATACGGAGGCCTAAGTGGCGAATCATTGACGTTCCAAGTGGCAGCGTTAGGGGCGAGAGTCGGGCTGGGAGCTCAGTGTCGGGGGGGCGAGTGTGTGAGTGGTGCGGTAAGAGTACTGGAGAGGAGCGGGGGGGGGGTTTGTGTTGAGGGGAAATTGAAAGTGCGCACACACAAACAAAGAAATGGAGAGCGACTCTGAATCCTTTATTACACCGGTTCTCAGCCGGGGGTACGCGGACCGCTGGGGGTACACGTTGGCAATGTCCCAGGGGGTAACGTGAGGTGGTTTCTAAACGCGTGAATAGTCACGTGTGAATATGCCGATATAAAATAACTACGATAAAATGTAAATCCGTATGGTAACCTAGTACGATATAAAGGATATATAAACTCATTGATCCTAAACAATGTAGGTTTCCAAGGGTAACCAGCTAGTGCGAACAAATTACGTCACGCATTGTAGAGCGTCCGTTGATTTTTTTTTGTATTCGCTTGCAGTTACTTAGCTCGTTAGGATACCTCAGAAAATAGACAAATAGTAAAAATATTGATGCTCATTATTCATACATTTATTTCTCAGAATCATGTTTGGTCAGGCAAGGTGGGAGGTGGGGGGGGGGGTACTCGCTTGAAACAAAATTCAACAAGGTTGAGAACCACTGCTTTGTTAGAATATAAGGGCACATTTTTATTTTATTTTAGTGAAATAAAGAGGGAGTGGGTTGATAATTTTGGACCCAGGAACCCAATCCTATTCTTCCCATGAGGTCGATTATTTGTTGAACTTGGATTCGCTCGACGCAGCATCTTCCAGGAACATGATCCCCCCCCCCCCCCCCCCCCGCGTTCGCCGAGGTTTTCCCTACCGGTGATTTCACCGGTTTTCCCACCAGATTTTTGCAAAAACTTTCTCCCACCACACGACTTGAAAGAGCCCATGTCCCCCCCGTCCGATTAGCACGGTTGACTACGTACGGCGCAAAAGAAGTTCAACATACATCATTATCTTGTATTTTCAGTTGGGGTGTAATGGAGTCGCCTTTTTTCCTCTCTTGGGCATTAAATATTCACGGTATCGTGAATGTAATGGTACTTAAGCTGCAAACACGAGACGCAGTTGTAACATTTTCAGCTGATTGATCGACTGTAATCCACTCATTGTCCCGGCTCCACTAACGCGGCTTCCCCTTTGACCTTGCGCCCCCTTTGTTCGTCCCAGCGGTGGAGCTGCTGGAGCGCATGCTGGTGCTGGACACCGAGCGGCGCGTGACGGCCAGCCAGGCGCTGGCGCACCCGTACCTGGCGCAGTACCACGACCCCGAGGACGAGCCCGAGGCGTCGCCCTTCGACGAGTCGCACGAGAACCGACTGCTCAGCATCGACGAGATTAAACGTGGGGCTCGCACAGCCGCACGCACAACCACACACACAGCCGCACACACAGCCGCACACACAGCCACACACACAGCCGCACACACAGCCGCACACACAGCCACACACACAGCCGCACACACAGCCGCACACACAGCCACACACACAGCCACACACACAGCCGCACGCACAACCGCACGCACAGCCGCACACACAGCCGCACACACAGCCGCACACACAGCCGCACACACAGCCGCACACACAGCCGCACACACAGCCGCACACACAGCCGCACACACAGCCGCACACACAGCCGCACACACAGCCGCACACACAGCCGCACACACAGCCGCCTGCACACCAAAGCCCCCACCCATTGTTAAACTGAGTTCTCATGTGTAGCGAGTTTGATGGCCAAGTGTAATGAGTTTGTGGAATTACTTTGTGTGTGCCCATGATTTCACTCACAAAAATCTGATGAAATTTTGGTTTTTAGTTAATTTGGTTAAATTTAATCTTAGAATGTCAAGCATAAATTTGATTGCCATGCCACAAACATTTCTACGCAGCACGGTATGTAAGAGAGTGGCGTCTCCTACTTAGCACGAAGGTTGACACTGGGACATATCTCCGTAGCTCTAGGATGTCTGTTTCCACGGCCCGTTTGTAACACGCAGCGTGATGCACTGTGCTGTGATAATTATGTTTAGATTTTTCTTCTAATGACTTGGCCCCAATTGGACTAAACTGTGGGGGGGAAATTTAAAGAGCGCAAAATGAATTGTCCCCGATGCCTAATGCCCATGATGTCCTTCTTTTCCCCCACTGCTTCCGATTCATTGCACCACAGAACTGGCCTTTGAAGAGATCGTGAATTACGTTCCGCCAGAGACGGATGACATGGATATGTAAGTGATCTGGCGCCTTGGAGAGCGGTGAGGAGGAGGTGGTGGTGGTGATGGTGGTGGGGGCAGGGTGGGTGGCATCCTCGCAATCTCGTCACCGCCGTCGGCCCCTTCCTAGAGGCGCGTCCAAAAATTCTCGGACTGGAGTTTGTGAGTCGGCGGCGATATCCGTGACGTCACTCAATTCTAATTGGAGGCCGATGCCAAGACCCCAGTTGTCATCGGTCAGGGAGCGCAGGTGGGCATTCTTCTTCTTCCTCCTCCTTGTGCAAGTAACGAAGCAATAAAGGCAACAACGGGAACCAGGGACCCCGATAGCCAAGATGACGCGCAGGCTTCAACATCGCAAGCCACGCCTGGCGCGTGCTATTTATTCGAGTCGTTTCACGGCGAGGAGGCTTTCTTCCGTGGCTCTAACCTCCCAGGGCGCGCTTGGGAGATGTGTGCGAGTGTGCCCCATGTTGAAAATGTACCCTCCGCGGCTAAACGGGTGCGAGGGATTAAAAGTGGTGGAAGCACGTTGATTTCACCGCCGTTGCAAATCCGCTTAGAACGCTTGATTTGAGGAAAGTGGGCCGAAGAGAATTCCTGGAGAAAACGCCGACCACCCCCTTCCCCCGCCCCCCACCACTTCATTAGAAACATCTCAAGAACCCTTTTACACCACCCAGGGTCAGTTACAGCTCAGAACTGGAGAAATCTGCTGTAAAGACTTTCGGTCAGCGGGGCTACAAAAGTCACCCGATTCGAAAAGCAATAAAAAAAAAGCCATAAACCAACCAACCACGGGGATGGGCAGTGGTGCCATCACACGTTGGCTGCTGCTCTTTTTAAGTGCCTTACATGCTTGCCACGTCCCCTGCACGGCCCCGCAGCCGGCATTAGCGGATGAGCCGTAGCGGAAGGAGCGGGCCTGCTCCTATTCCGCTGCCGTGGCACCATTCCTGTGTAAAGAAACCAGTCCCGTCCCACGATTAAAGGGAGGTTTATTTTTTATTTGTTATTTTTAAATGACATTATATTCACAATAAAATGGTATATTTATCCTCACGGGCTGCTGATATAATACATAAAGCAACGCAAAGGTATTTGCAGCTAGTCCATCGTGTGGGCGACACTAATGTGTTTTACGCCGATTGAGGCACATCGGCAGCAAGCCAGTAATGCAATGAATGTCCGGGAGCTGTGTTATAAGCGTGGAGACCACAGCAAGCTGTTGCAACAGATACGTGATACGTCGTGTCTGTAACAATGACTTGGAAAATTGTTTATGAACGCACTAAGAGACCCAGATGACCTTCGGCTGGTGTGTGGCCCCGAATACCGAACGTGGTGGTTGACATCCATCGCATGTTGTCGTGCACGGCGCACGGCCCACACAGGTCACTCTCCCAACTGAGGCGGAGGAGGAACACGCTTGGTGGTAATGACGACAGTATTACTACCGTGTCGGTTTTCCAGGCAGTGCCGTTACTCACCTGCAATGTGTTTTTTTTCCGAGTTGTACCGCGTGGTGGCTTGACGTATCGATCGATCGCTCGCTCGCTCGGACGCCGCATTTGGGAAATTTCACTCGCTGGACGGCATTTTTTTTGAAGGGGGGCAACTAAACACGCGAAGCGAAACGTCCGCACACCGTGCCGAACAATACCGGCGGGCAAAACCCGGGGAGCTTTTGACAGTGTTGCCGCTGCGTTAGACGCGATATGTCATATGCATCGTAGGCGCGCGAGGCGGTACCGGCTGGAGGTGATGTGGGTGCCAGGTTTCTTGAAGACGTCCTCTGCTACGCCCGAGCATGTCGTAAATCGCCCCAATCGGGGCACTGAGCACCGGAAATGAAAAGTGGAACAAAACCTAAAAAGGCCTCGGTGCTCAACATTGGGAGAAGGGGCAAATGGTGAGGGGATAAAACACACCAGCCACGAGCCTTACTAAAAGCCCTAACTAGTTCAACCCCAACCAATCCGCTAGCCGTTACCCTAATCAATGTACTGAGCCCTATGCAACTCGAACCAAGGAGCAACTATCAACGTGCACCAACTACCCCCAACTAACTAGACCCGCACCTACGATTAGCACGGTTTGGCTACGTACGTACGGTGCGAAAGAAGTTCAACGTACGTTCATAAGGCCGCTTGTACGAGCCCCAACTCTACCCAACTAACTAACCACGACTATGACCTCTCCCCCGTGACTGCCTCTCAAAGTGTCATCGCCACCTCCAGTGCTTTATAACGCCAGGCCCCCCATTTTCACCGCTTTTCACTTCTGGTGTTGGCCGGTGCCTCGCAGAAGGGCGGGGGTGTGTGGGGGGGGGGCACAGCCATCGCGTCAAGTTGTGTTATGGTTCTCTCAAAGAGTTTTAAGAGTATTGTACATAATGATATTTTGTCTTAATTACCTTTCATGTGTATCATTCTTACGTAAGCCGCTCATGATTGCTCTATTCGTGTTCGTCTGTTCGTGTCGTCGGCGTTTTCATCTTTTTCCAATTGTGTAAATACGGTCGGCAGCGACGCTCCTCATCCGTCTATTATATCATTAATAACAGAACTCTGTCATTGTGTAGTTTGCGGGGCCGCTGCCGATTTTAGGCCGAAAATAAAAATTCCTATCGTTGCTTAATAAAAACAAAAAATATCTCAAGGGAAACGACGGCGATCCGAGTGCGAAATCTTCTTTTGCCAGTCTGCAAATGCTGCCACAATGCCACGTGAAAATGTTAAAATTGGGGAAAGTGAAATCCTGATTTACACTCGCTCCTCGTGGCTTGTCAAACCACTGCTGTACGCAGGCCTCTCCACGCTCTGGTCAGTCGTGGGGCTTTGGAGCTACAAAATGGGACCTTTTTTCCAGTATCAAAGTATGAAAAAATAACCAAAGGGTTTAGCCTTCATGGCAATAAAACAGGAGTAATGTTAAGATGTTCAAACGCCAAATAGAAGCCTCTTTGCAAAGAATAAAGGATTGCATCAACCACACGTACACGTGGTCAATGCAGACTTGATTCTTTGCAAAAAAGGTTTCTATTTGGTTGGTGTTTGAACATCATACCACCTGCTCCTTTATTGCCAGAAAGCGGGTTAAAACCTACTCTTATTTTTTCATGGGGTTTTCTTTGGCCATACTTCACCACGCTGGTCAGTGCGGGTTGGTAAAAGGGGCGGCGGATCAAGGATCATTTCTTGTTTAACTCGGTTCTTCCTTTGGCCGTGGCCGGGAATCCAACTCAGGTGGCCGGGATTCATCGCGAAGTGCCCTACCTCGCCCGGTGTTTAGATAGAAGTTGCAACAAAATTCAATGACAACAGAAATCGCACCACACTTTGCCTTGTTCTATGAAACGTGTTTTTTTTTTGACATCTTGTACTTCAGAATTCCCGATAGAAATTACCACCGTGACCTACAGTAATGCGGACACCATAAACTCTTGTGAACAACACGTTGTCGCGTCAGAATGATCACATTCTTCTTTTCATAAGCCTTCATGTAATGCTAATCTCGTAAATAATAATAATAATATACAGGATGGTCCACCTGTGTTGTGACCCCCCGAATTGACCCCTAATTTTTTTCGCCTCTGCATGTTAAGTTCTGCTTTAAATTAATCCTTTAAAATGAATCTTAATTTGGAGCTTTCGTGACTGCAGGAATTACTCTTTGGTTCTTTCGGTAAAGTCACGTATAAAGATAAAATAATAAATTAAATAATAGCATACTACGACGTTTCGATTGCAACACAAGCAATCATCATGAGGTATTAAAGAAAGAAATAGCAACAAAAATCTAACCATAAAACTATAGACAGACATATAAGCAGACAGATATCCTCTCTCTGTGTATCTTTGTGATATCTGTCTGCTTATATGTCTGTCTATAGTTTTCTGGTTAGATTTTTGTTGCTATTTCTTTCTTTTATACCTGATGATTGCTTGTGTTGCAATCGAAACGTCGTAGTATGCTATTATTTAATTTATTATTTTATCTTTATACGTGACTTTACCTTTAAAATTAAGCTAGATAAGTTTTTAAGAATTAAACGGGAGGCGTCACAAGACATCTGGACCACGCCGAGACAAATATCAAACGGAGGCTGCACTCTCTCCTACCTCTTGCGGATGACACAATTATTTCGGGTTATGCGACTTAAATCGCCGATACGATATTGTCAAATAGCTTTCAAGGACTTCTCAAGAGTGCGGACACCACGAGTCGTCGTCGTCTGTTGCTTTGCCGCCAAAACTTGAGGCGTGCAGGCCACGTGGCCGCCCAGGAGCCAATGAGGTTGCAGAGAATTGGCGGGAAAAAAAAGACAATGGGGGCTCGAGGCCACAAAGCAATCCCCTCAGAAGCCCCCTCATGACCGTCTGTGCTCTACCCACTGCCTGACGAAGTCCTCCCCCACACCGCATAACACTGGTCAACAACAAAAACATTTTTTTCTAGCCTGGACTTTTGCAGCTGTTTTAGACTAATTTCAGGGTGCCGATTCCAAATCTGGTCTCAGATTTGCTCAATCGCATCTCATTTTTAAAGCCTTTATATTAAGTTTGCTTGCTTGCTTGCGCGCTTACGGCCGTGCAAATCTTTCGGTCGTTTTTTAACCCACTTCCCGTGATCCAATCGAGCTGACATTTTCCACACAGACTCGTTGTGCGTGACAATTTATTTTCGTGAAATTTTTTTTCCATAGCTTTACACTTTTTAGGATTTTTTTTTATATTTAATTACCAATTGCTTAATGGTGGCAGGCAATCATCTGACCCATAGGTGGCAGCCATCTCAAGCCAGAGGACGAGAGGACTCTAGCCGCCACGCATATAAAGGATTCAGTGAAAAACTTTGTTTTTACGGGTTAATTTTTTATGCTATTGGCATACCCCATTTTCATTGATTTTACCCGAAATTAACTCTGTCACTTATGATTGCAAGTTGTTGCGAGTCAATGACTGCTTTAGTGTTAAAATATGGTGCTGTATTTTTAGGATAGTGTGTTTATAATATAATTTTATGTAGATATCCACATTTATTTAATATTTTTCTTCTGCAGTTATTGAAAATGCAATATTTGATATCTCAAAAACCTGATGTGATAGACAAAAACTGATGCCACATTTGGAATCGGCACCCCAAAATTACCTTAAACCCGTTGGAATACCTTATGCCAGAACAAGTGTGTTGACCAGTGTTATTGATAAGGACGAGGTGTTTAAATCCCTCGCCTGGGGTACGCAACAGGCTTGTGGGTTCGATCCCGACCCAAGACGCCTGCTGTAATGACATTTTGCAGGTCTCTGATTTTTCTCCGGGTCCTCCGGTTTTTCCCCCCTCAACGTTTAGAATTTCCATCAGACGTTTAGAGTACTGTATCCGGCTGCTATAAACTTACACACAATGAGCTGTAATGATTTGTGGCCAGGTCACTACTGAAAACGAGCTGTAACAGCTCAGTGGGGGCCTTACAAGGTAAAATAAAAAGCTTAGCTTAACAGGACCCTGCGGGGTGGGCTGGTAGGAACGAATAACCAAAGAATATAAACAATGTATTATTACACTTGTTAAGCCAGGAAAGCCCCACTGAGTCAAAAGGTTTTTGTAGGGTCCTGCCAAGTGTTTGCAGTAGGGGGCGATGTTGCTACACCTAATCGGACGATACGAAGGGAGATTTAGAGGCCTAGTTCTAGGCTTTAGGCCTAGCTGTAGGCTTTAGGGCGCTGTGAGTTAATTTTTATTTAAATGTTTTAATTAGTAATGTATAATTTAAATGTTTTAATTATTAATGTAAAAGCTTTAAATGTAAATGTTTCTATTTTAAAACATCAGGGAATGTAACATTGTTAAACATTAACTCCCTTTCACACACGCGGGGGTACGATACGAAGGGAGACTTTGAGGCCTAGTTCTAGGCTTTAGGCCTAGCTGTAGGCTTTAGGGCGCTGTGAGTTTTTTTTATTTAATTTCAAAGTTAATTAAAAGCTATCTCAGGGAATTATAAGGGAATGTTACACGTGTTTAGCCAGGAAAGCCTCATTAATTTAAATGTTTTAATTAAAAGCTATCTGAGGGAATTATAAGGGAATGTTACACTTGTTTAGCCAAGATAGCGTCACTGAGTCTAAAGGTTTTTGTAGGGTCATGCCAAGTGTTTGCAGTAGGGGGCGATGTTGATACACGGACAGACGGACGGACGATATAATCTATTGGTGTCTGGTCCACTTCGTTCCTACCAGTATAATGCTACACCTGTCAACCCCTTACGGTTTATTCGTATTCTTGTACAGGGAAATTTAGTTCTCGGGTCCATACGGCATACAGCCGTTTCAATTCGGGCAACATTTTGTTGTTGTGTTTCTCCCTTGTGATGAGACTTCGTAGTTTGAACGTTGATATTTATAAAGGCACGGGGTGACCAGTAAGGTCTGAATAGGTCTAAGGTTGGCACTGAAAAGGGGTCGATAGGTATGTAATGGTGCATTAGCAGGGGTGCACACAACACAAAATTCAATCGTTAATAACTCGTGGCCTTAAAATGAAAAAAAATATAGGCGACGGTGTGAGCAATGGCACTTCATAGCACACTGGGCCACTGCCCAAACAATATTTTTTCTTTTAAGGGCGCATTTATTGATGCAGTTTTTTTTATTTGACCATAATTTACCACACTTGGCAGCGTAGGTTAAAGGCGGGGAGCCATAGATGTGGGAACAAGGCAACTTGTTATGTTTTGTTACAAACTCTGCAGAAACGGAAAATAAAATGGACACATTTGAAATGGTGGCCATTTTTTTATTTCTTCAGATTAAGTGCGGCGGTGTACAAGTAACAATAATTCACAGTTGGGTGCTCACAACCAGCCGTCGACCTCCACCAACAGATGCCTTCAATATGACTTCACTGCTGTGCAACACAAGAGCACAAACTTCAAACACCAAGGGCGTCACAAAATCGGTAACACCTCTGAGACCCTGCTTCGGCAAGCTGCCATTAGGGGGTCCCCTCGGCTATACAATCTGCACTGAGACCTTGGAGCCAATGCTGGGCCGACGGTTCTGACCACATTCCAACCTCCCAAAGGCACGCACCCACACCGCATTAAGGCCACATTTCAAATGCAAGTGTTACGAATAAAAAGGTATTCAACGTGAGTGCACTTTTAGGATTCCAAATTACCGCGACAAAAAAAATACCCACAGTAAAAACGCAGACACTTCACGTGTCGCGACTTCACAGGTGAAAATTCCTTGAGTCTTGCATAGGGTTGACGCCTGTCCTGGGTTTTCCCCAAGGCCATCCTTCGAGGTAGTTGCTGTCCTTGGAACTCTGTCAATCTTCCCGGGACATTTGAAAGCCCCAGTGTTTTTTCACGTGTGCGTAATGCACTCCTGGAAAATGCATTTACATGCAGTTCTATCCCTCTTCCACCATTGTGAGAAATTATCATCTCGTTGCTCAGATTTTTGTCCCTCAGGAGATAGCGACCCCCCCCACCCCCTCCCGAGCATTAAATTTGACCTTCCCCAAGGCACTGCCGCACCCCTACCCGACGAGGTTTGCAGGAGGCACACACCGACGGAAACTTTCGACGCATCTTGCTCACTGGAAGAAGTCCCGGGCTCCAGGACCCGGCTGTTTTCCACCCATGGGTGGGCCGATTGCTCGAGCGAGCTGCCTAGAGCTCAGCGAGTGGACAGGCCGTGTGTGTGTCTCCCCCCATCCCCACACAAAAACAGGTGAATTAGAAAAAGGCACGGTCCCGAGCGTGGGGACCTCGTGATAAGAACTCATCTGTGGAAGTCGTCGTTACTGTTGAGCCAAGGACCGATAAAATCTCCACCGTGTATCAACGTGTTCGTCTTCCAGAGTGGAGCACAGCTACATTGTATCGGGATTTTTTACTTGAAATTTCCTTCCCCCTCCCCCAATTTTATCCTGAATGTGCTATTGGCATCACTTAAGGAGATTGAGAACCCATTCAGCATCTCGCAGACCAGTGCAGATTTTTTTTAGAGAATTAACCAGTGGAAGCATATATCAGAGCCACCCTTTAAAATCACTTTCGAGTGCCATTTGGTCCGAGCAATATGGGGGCAGCAATTCCCCACCTGCCTTGCTACGCAGGAGTAAAGGTCATCGCACGATAGTCAATACATTCTTAATTATTAGCCAGGTACTCAAGACTGATGGCAACCTTTAGCACCTTGGTCTCAATTGTGCCCGTGTCGAGCTACCGACGTAATAGGCGACAACTGCACCACAGCGCCACTCCGTGTTCGTAGTGAGCAACAGACATAGGCGTCCAAAACAAACCCCCACACATGAACGTCATTAGTACATAAGGTGCAACATCTTCAAATATTTAAATACTCCCTCTTAATTGCCGTCATTGTTATTATTCCTACAAACATTGTCGCCGTTTACTTCTTACGCCACCCTCCACTGCTGGCGCGCTGCAGTACTCCTGACAAGTCCCCAACACCATCGCTACCCCAAATACTATTTGGTGGTGACAGCCTTGTAATGCTGGGGGGGGGGGAAACAGAGCCTTTGAAAGCTCAGCCCTGCTCAATTCTTAAAAGTCCAAAATTGTTGATACAAAACTAATACAAATGTAAGCATGGGCGTCGCAGTCTTTCCCGATATGCACAGGGGGGGCGGTTGAGCAGAAGGTGCGGTAGACAAGCAGGATGGTATCCGTTCCTGACATCCTCTTTAGCGGTCGAGCCCATTTCACGTTGAATGTCGCACTCTTCTCCCCCACCCCCCCCCCCCCCCCACTGTGAGTTGATGCATTTCCCCTCTTTAAAATCGAGGTTACAGCAGAGCTCATGGTGGGTGAGCAGAAGTGGCTGGCTGGCCGGCTGACCGGCCGGCCGAGCAAGCGCGTGAGCGAGTGAGCGAGCGGCCGTCACTTGGGGTAGCTGTTGTCGTCGGGGGTGTCGCTGTGAATGAGCCGGTAGCCAGGCCGACGCCGGTACAGGCAGTAGTGCTGCACGATGAAGAGCAAGTCAAAGAGCACGGAGAACAGGCCCAGGCCGAACTTGGTGAAGTCGCCGAAGATCAGGGTCCACTCGTCTGCGCGGGGGGAAACCCGAAGGAGAGATGTCGGAGGGGTTAGCCTGATCAAGATATGGCTAAACAAAATCTGCGCATCGCAACAGGTGGCTAGAGCTAAAAGAGCTTAGCCCCCCCCCGCCCTCAAAAGCCATTTTCCAGCTTGCGTTATTCAAACAGAGCGGATCGCAGTAAAACCTCTCGAAGGTCGGACTCGGCCAGAGTTTCAAATGCTAGTTTCGTTTAACCAGGTGAGAACTCGCGGGACTAGGACGGACTATTTTGCAAGGGTGACCTGAGTACCTGCAAAAGAGAGTGTACAGCCACCACGAACAGGGCACCTTGTAGACCCACGCATTTAGAGGGTTTTTTTGTGTGTGCATAGACTCGCTACGCTTGAGAGCCTAGGTTCATCACAGGCAGTGGCTGAAAACTGGACTCGAACCCAGGATGCTAGTGACTGCCAGTGCATTGCTCCGACCTCTGAGCCACCGCACCACATCAAGGGACAAATTCTTACGAAAACCAATTTGACGCTCGAGTGTACGAATCATTTAACCGTTCTCTCTCGCCAAGACTGACCGGTCAGAATTTAATTAAAGCTTTTTTTTTTGGCACGTTTGCCCCCCATCTCATCTGTTCCATCCGTCTCATTTGTACAATCTTGTTTGTACCATCTTGTCTCTCGCTTGTCTCATCCATCCAATCTATAGTCTTGGCTAGACCGTCTGCCTTATCTGTGGTCTCATCTACAATGTCTGTCTAGGGTGTACCGTCTATCTCATCTGTACTGCGTCTTGTCTGCACTGTCCGTCTCGCTTGTGCGGCCTGACCTGTTGTGCCGCACCTCCTCTACGAAGACAAAGGTCCCCCGTATAGCCTATTAACAGACTGTAGGGGCAAGTCCTGTTAGCAACCACGCATGAAGGCCGGCACTGCACACGAGCGGGTGGGTCGCCAGCACCACACCATGCCGCCTTTGTCGCCCGAATGGCCACGTTTACGCATCGCACCAGGTACTCATGAGGCCAAGCCGACCTAGGGGAGGCCCAGAACCGGTTCATTTAAATCATCACCGGCGTTGGTGGCCGTGAGCGGGAAGTAGATATCAGTGATATACTCCCGCTGCGGTTATCTGGCTAGACCACCTGAGTGTTAAATTGTAGTCGTTGCTCTGCGCCACATCAGCCGTACGACAAGAAGAAGAACCGGGAATCGAACGCGGGTAGCCGGGTTCGTCGCGTGGCAAGCCCTAACCGCTGCACCACCGCTCCCCTCCTATCTCGTCTACAATACCACTACCCGCCATTCGCCACTAAGCAACGGTGACGTCACCAGGGCACGTGTGCCAGGTCAGGTGCACTTTGAGGCCACGTGAAGTGTCGAAGGCTCGCCGACAGAGGTCTTGGGACAGACCCAGGTGCCATGGGTTAGCTGACTGAGATGACCGGTAGATGCACCAGCTGTGCCAACTTGCTGTTTTTAGCCACCCGGCGCTTCGCTCATTGTTGCGAGCATCGCTCCTCTACCTACCCTCAGTCTACAAAAAGACAAAGATCTCCTCGATAGCCTTAACAGACTGTTGGGGCAAGTGCTGTTAGCAAGCACCTGTAAAGACCGGCACGGCACACGAGGGGGTGGGTGGCCAGCACCATACCCGGCCGCCTTTGTCTCCCCAGCGGCGATGCTTATACACTGAACCAGGTACTCATTTGAAGCAGAGTCGACCTAGGGGAGCCCCAGGACTGGTTAACATAATCGTCACAGCTGTTGGCCGTGAGCGGGAATCGAACTTGGGTCGCTGGATTCATACCGCAGCGCGCTAACCACTACACAGTCTCGCACATGCAGCGTGCTTCCCCCCACCGTTGTTGTAGGACCTGATGAACATCTGCGCGAGGCTGAGCGTGCCGCCTGTCAGATCGAGCAGCACGTTGCCGATGCTCCAGCCCTCCGTGCTCTTGCGCTGGTAGTTCATGTACGCCTGCGGGTCCCCCAGCACAGACCGGGACGACACACGCGCACACGCTCACGCGACGCATCTGGGGGCCGCAGCGATGGTAAAATCGATAAAATCCCTTCCTGACAGAAGCAGCGCGGGCAAAAAAAAAATCTGTTATTACTATTAAACATTTTTTATTTTACTAAAAGTATGCTGAGCTATGTAGCTCCTTTTCAGAAGCGACCTGGTCACAAATGGTAGCTCAACGAAGTGGCTTATCACGTGGACATTTATAGCAGCCAAGTGTATGTGTTGAACTTCTTGTGCACCGTACAAACCCACCGTGCTAATCGGAGGTGCAAACTCGGAACGCATGTTGTCTCTAAATGTGGAAGGAAAAACCAGAGGACCCAGAGAAAAATCCACACGACCCAGAGAGCATGAAAACTCCAGATATACAGGCGTCAGGGTCGGGATCAAATCCACAAACTCCTGTATACCAGGTGAGGGAGTTAACATCCCGCCACCGTGCAAAGTGGTTACAAGCTAACATCTCGCCGCCTTGAGGCGACGGGCCAGGCGGGCGGCTCGCACCTGGGGCATGTACTTGACGAGCGTGATAACGAGCTTGATGTAGGAGAAGCCGTTGAGGAACTGCAGCCAGGAGACGGCGTGCACGGCCGCCGAGACGAGGTAGGCGAGCGCGAAGAGCCACGCGGCGGCCTGCAGCACCCAGGCGGGCACCGACACGTGCTGGCCTCCACGCTGGCCACACCCGCCACCACCGAGGGCAAAACAACAACAACAACAACACAGACAGAAAAGCAACCCGGTGGCGGCCGTTAAAAAAGATTGGTGGAGAAACTGCTGTTCGTGTAATCTTTGAATATACAGCAGGCGTGGCCAACCTGTAACAGACCACGAGCCAAAGAGTACCCCAGGAGTTCTGTAAAGAGGCAAGGTGTATATACAAGTATGTGTGTATATATTGACAGTTTTCGGCACAGGACAGGAGACATTCATTATTCAATGAGACTCTGATAGCGCGTTCTACACGAGGTCCCTTCGATAAAGCCGCACGTGGTGGATTAAAGAGCCGCACGTGACGCTAGAGATGCCAGATGGCCACCACTCGTGCACAGTATTTCACTCGTTACACAAGAACTTGCGACCTGCGATTTTGCTCAAAAACGCTAATCGCATCTGGAACTCTACACGACTGCATCGAGAAAGAGGGTGATGAGATCGTTACTGCATCCTACTATGCAGCATCATAACAAGTCAAGTAAATGTATTATGAACGATGCGAAAGGTCAACATGCATACACTACTATTATTTAATACTTTAATATACATAATTTTTAGGTACTTTGTTTATTATCACCAATGTAATGTTTGTTTTATGATATTCGATAGCTTATTTTAGGCATTTATTTTAGCCAATTCATTTTCGTACAGCCAATATCATTATCCGCGAAATTCGCAATTTACGAGCATCTCCGGAACGTATCGCTCGTGGCGAATGAGGGCATGCCGTACACGTTGCCACCGACTGGTTCCGAACGCCGCAAGCCAGGGTTGCTCGCCCACGCACGTCGCTCGCAACACTTCTCAAAACCTCTGGTCATCCTCGCAGCAGCGGCTTTGGGCTGGACATTGAACAAGGCGGTCACCGCATCGCGCGCATTCGGATGCGCTTCCGTGGCTGCTTGGAACGCTCTTCCTTCCGATATTAGGAAGTCACTGGAGCTTTGCACTTTAAAATCATCTATATTTATAACGAATTTTATTTCAAACTGATTTTTGTGTTTTAGTTGGTTGTCCTACCCCAGCAATTCAGATTAGCACGGTTGGCTATGTATGGTGCGAAAGAAGTTCAACATGCATACACTACACCAATACACTCCTATATACTACACGATACGCTGCATTACTATACACTGCACCACTAAACACTACACTTACACCACTATACAAAATAGAAAATCAATTTCTTAAGAAGTTTTTTGTGTTTAGTTTGTTGTCCATTGCCCAGGCACCTCCAAATTATCACGGTTGGCTACGTACGGCGTGAAAGAAGTTACACACACACACACACACGAATCTCCCGAGGAGTATGACGCCGACGACGCTCACCTCGTAGATGACGCACTGCGTGATGACAACGAGGCACGCGAAGATGGCGTGGAGACTGAACCCCGCGTCATTGAGGCTCACGGGGTTCACTCCGTCTGGGTACTGCACCAGGTACTCCTCCTGAACGGACACGAGAAAATCACCCCACCCCCCACCGCCGAGCGTCCAGCGTGTAACCCTGTTGATGCTTCTCCAACGGGCGTTCGTCCCCCATGCCCCCCCCGTCACGTCTGTCGGCGATTATAAACAGCGCAGCGGTGTGCGTCGCGCGTGCCACTAGCAACCGCCCCCCAGGGGGGCGAGTGTGCGACGTCTTGGTCAACAAGGATAACCACGCTCGAGGAAAACGTTCCTAACAGCAGTGTGACTTATAAAAAAAACTTCATTATAACAAAGTTACGCTGCTATAACAATAATAATGTTACACTCCCATCGGATCATCTTTAGGAGAGTTATCGCGACCACCACCTCCCCCCACCCATGTTATAGATGGACAAAGCTAAACGCATTTGTGCTTTCAACCACTCTTTACATGCCTCTAAGTTAATCTGCATTTGAATGATGGTCAGCCTAAAAACATTCTGCTGGAGTCTACGCACGCAATGGGGAATTCATTACTGAACATCGATTTAGGTTTCCGAAAAGTTTTTTTTATTTGTCATCGGACAAGTTGTTCCCGCTTCACTGCTGTAAAGTGATGCGTCATCTTGGCGACCCGGGTCATCTAAATTGTCTTATGGTTATTGTTTGACTTGCATCCCACGGGGATTTTTGCACACAGCGTTGAAATACGGTGTTTTTTCTGGAAGACTTTGCTGTTTTTTCCTGGATTTTTCTGTTGCGTATCGTCACTTTAAGATGTTTCTTGTTCATGTTTTTGTTTGTTGCGGTTGCACCCGAATCAAGAGCCACATGGCTCACAGGATTATACCTAATAAATGAAACTGAAATAAATTAAATGAAACCGAATCACCATTGCCAATGAGACTCATCCCAATCTCTCGAGTTCTCACTTAGTTAAAACAAAAATCAACTCGACTTTTAACACCCTTACCAATTCATCATCTCAAGAAATGTACCCACTCACCACCTTAATCACCCACAATTTCACGAACTCTCTCACCCCCCCCCCCCCCCCCGTCACTCATTCCTGCAAATTGAAACTCATCCCGGTCTCTCACGTCTGCTTGAAAACTTGTGTGTCAACCCCTTATCAGTGCCTACCTTATTACAGACCAATTTAGACCTTTTTGGTCACCACGTGCCCTTACAAATATTAACGTTCATTCTACAAAGTCCCATCATAAGGGAGAAACACAAACAAATAGACATTGTTGTTCCCGTATTGAAACGGCTGTACGCTGTATGGACCTGGCAACTCAATTTCCCTGTACAAGAATACGGGGTCAACTGTATGGGTTGACAGCTATGAAAGTGTTGAAAAATACGAAGCAACCAACCAACACCGCCATACCCCCCCCCCCCACTCTACCACCACTTCCTACACAGACTGCTAGGGCGAGCAGCCGTGAGCGAGCACCTACGAAGGCCGGCACGGCACACGCGAGCGGCCAGAGCGAGTCACCTTGACAGTGGGAATCCACAGCATGCCGATGTTGAAGAGGCTGTACGCCACAAAGCCCGTGAGATTCAGTGCCAGGAAGTCAAAGTTGAGTCCAACGACGCTGCAAAGACAAAGATCTCCCAGTATAGCCTTTACAGACTGCTGGGTCAAGTGCCGTGAAGAGAGCACCTATCAAGGCCGGAACGGCACATAAGGGGGTGGGTGGCCAGCAACACACCCGACCGCCTTCGTCTCCCAAGTGGCAATGTTTTTACAAATTGCACTAGGTACCCAATTGAGGCCGAGTCGACCTAGGGGAGGCCCAGGACCGGTTCAGAAACTTGTCACTGGTGTTGGCCGTGAACGGGAATCGAACTCGGGACGCGAGGTTCGTAGCGCAGTGCGCTAACCGCTACACACGCACGAGGGAAAAACGGCGGTCTTACAACTTGCAAGGTCATGCACTCACAACGGCAGTTAAACTCATAAAGACAAAGATCCCACCTTTATAGCCTTAACAGAATGTTCGAGAGTACCTACGAAGGCCGGCATGGCACACGAGGAAGTGGGTGGCCAACACCACACCCAGCCGCTTTTGTCTCCCCAGTGGGGATGTTTACACACTGCACCAGGTACTCATGAGGCTGAGCGGACCTAGGGAGGCCTAGGACCGGTTCAGATAATCGTCACCGGTGTTAGGCCGTGAGCGGGAAGAAGAAGAGAGGAAATCGAAACGCGAGTCGCGAGGCTCATAGCGCGGCGCGCTTACCGCAGCACCACCACTCCCTCCTATCTCGTCTACAGCACAAGTCGGGTTGCCAGATTCATAGCGCAGCGTGCCAACCGCTGTAACACACTCCCCCGCTCGTAGCGACATGGGGTCACACGCAACAGCGAATTCAACAACAACAACAACACATGGACAGCACGAGCAATGGGACGCCCGCAATGGCGCAAGTAAAACAAAAACACAACTCGCACCGGCGGACGACACCGTGCTCACGACGTCAGCAGACTACCTGCTGGATCTCCTCACTGTTTCGAAGAACAAATGTGACCTAAGGTCTTCACTCATTTACCAGGGTCTGGAATGCTATCGGCAATAAACTGCAACTTGGATCACTACCTGTGAGATCCTCACTCAAAAATGCTCTCAAATCTAGATTGCTCGAGAGGAGTTGTACACCCCTAGCTGCCACTGCTATTCAGAATGGCCCGAAATCAAATGTATCATTCCAGATGACTGCTGCAAAGTATGGCCTTGAGTTTTTAATATAGTGTGCTGATCTTCAAAGGTGTATTGAAAATGTTCTATTCTGCTACTGATACTCCTGCTGTTCTGGAGTGACTCATGCAGCCAACTATTGCTGCAAAGTTTGGTCGTACATGTTATATCGTTTATTGTTAAATTTGAATCGGTTCCTACGATCACTGTTACATTGTTTTTATAGCTTTATTTTGGTGATTTTGAAAACCTTATGGTTTAGCCATGTTTGTTTGTTGTAGTATAGAGGTTAGCCTGATAACGTTAATCTACATTGTCTTATGGTTGTTATTGTTCGACTTGCATCCCACGGGGATTTTTGCACACAGCGTTGAAATGCGGTGTTTTTTCTGGAAGACTGTGCTGTGTTTTCCAGGATTTTTCTGTTGCGTGTAGTCACTTGAAGATGTTTCTTGTTCATGTTTTTGTTTTGTTGCGGTTGCACCCGAGTCAAGAGCCGCATCTGCTCACAGGGTTATACCTAATACATTAAACTGAAAAACTGAAATGACACCGTGCTCACGATGCCGTGCCCACACACCTCTTGCGCCGGTAATTCTCCAGGATCTGTGGGTAGAAGGAGATGGACCACGCCACGAAGTAGAGCCAGCCGATCACAACGTCGAGGAGGCGCAGAGCCTCACTGCGGATCACCTGGAAGCGAATCCGCACGGCGTCCACCCTGCACGGAGATGGACCGGGGGTGAGGGGGCAGCACTGACCTCGGTGTGACCTCCAATGCCCGATCACACGACGACAACAAACCCCGACTCCAGCAGCGTGCGTGCACAACGACACCCCCCGCTGCCACGCCGTGGCTCGCGCCGTGGCTCGCGAGCCTAGAAACTTGTAGGAAAACGGACCTGGCGATCTGGGAGGAGTTGCCATGGAGATGAGTGGTGACCTGACCCACGGCGACGGCCTTCACGAGGAACGGAACCAGCCGCGAGTGTGCGGGCAACATCACCTGCGGAGCGGAGAGACGCGGGGCGGAGAGTGCGAGTGAGTGTGAGAAAGTGTGGCATTGTGAGAGTGAAAGTGTGCGAGTGTGATTGTGTCAAATAATATAGCGTGTGGGCGAGCGTGTGGGCGAGCGTGTGGGCGAGCGTGTGGGCGAGCGTGTGGGCGAGCGTGTGGGGGCGAGAGCACTGACGCTGTCAGGCAGCTCCACAATGGTCACGTTCTCAGAGTGCTGCGTGATGTTGAACGTGAGAACCACACTTTTCGCGAGTGTTCCACTGCTCACACAACACAAAACACACACAACACACTTGTGATATTAACAAGCGTTGAAATTTGAAAACGCAAATGAGATCTCGCCGACTTAAATGACCGTGACTCGGAGGCGCAGAGCATCAAGCACACACATCACACGACACAACACACACCACTCGCGTCATCAACACACAACACACACCACTCGCGTCATCAACACACATCACACACCACTCGCGTCATCAACACACATCACACACCACTCACGTCATCAACAAACATCACACGAGAACGCATGCACACATCACACAACAAAGCTTACACACATCATCATACCGGTCAACCCATACGGTTTACCCGTATTCTTGTACAGGGAAATTTAGTTTTCAAGTCCATACAGCACACAGCCGTTTCAATACGGACAAGAAAAATGTTTGTCCATTTGTTTGTGTTTCTCCATTGTGATGAGACTTTGTAAGATAAACATTGAGATTTATAAGGGCACGGGGGTGACCAATACGGTCTGAATTGGTCTGTAATAAGGTAGGGCACTGATAAGGGGTTGACAGGTGTGCATCATCAATGCACATCACCCATCACGCATACAGGGAGCCAGTGTCGGCCTCCTTAGTTGGGGGGCGGTGGCGCTCACCTAAGTGTCAGGGTCACGTTCAAGGAGCTTCCGTTGGTCAGGACGACCTCCTCGGGGGCGCTGACAGTCACAGTGGCTGGGCACGAGGGTTCAGTGAACACGGTCAATCAAGGTCAACATCTCTCCGGTAACACCATCACCAACATGACAATCAACACCGACATCGCAAAATCACCCTGAAAAAAAAACACCATTACAAACATCGCCATTAACCACGAGCTCCTTAACAGTAATCATGAGCATTCATTATGAACGTTTTTGGTTTAGATCGCGTTATTTATAAATGTGTCGTAACCCTCCACCACCCGACACGGCCAATCAGTAAAAAAAACTATTCTGGCAAATTGCCCGATGATGTTGGATGTAATTACCAGCGAAACGTCGTTCTCAAAAATTGTAAATGTTGTGGATTCACTCTTCAACACACCGGTGGGCTAAAGTAGTGAACTATTTGTCTTTTGTGAACGCGACACATTTTTACTGATTGGCCGTGTCGGGTGGTGGAGGGTTACGACACATTTATAAATAACGCGATCTAACCCCAAACACGCTCATTAGGAATAATATTGGTCGCGAAAGCCTCCATGTTAAATCATTGGCATGTAATCATTATCACCATCAACACCTGCATACCCATCGCCTTCATCAGTAGAACTTCCACCGCAACCATCAACACCACCTCCATCACCACCATCATCGCTATCGATTACCATCACCACCATCACCATTCGCTATCATCATCATCACCACCACCACCAGCAGTGTTGCACTCACCAGATCCATACTTCGCAGTCCCCAGCACCATCAGCGTAGTAAACCAGAGCAGAGCCATCGTCTGCGACACAGACATCATTGAGCATAAGCCATCATCACGCTAGCTCCGATCCACCCTCACAACAGCATCTGGCTGGCCATCGAACATCGCGTGGCGCTTTCAGATGCGCTTCTGCGGCCGTCTGGAACGCTCTTCCATCCCATATTAAGAAGCCGCTGGGAGGACATGCACTTTCAAATCATCGTCTAGATTAGCAAACTCATTTATTGAGAACTTTTTTTCATGTCGAGTGAGTGGTCCTTCCCCCGCACCTCCGGTTAGCACGGTACAGTGCGAAAAAAGTTCTATAAAGTGTCGTACATTACCACCACTCCCATCACCACCACCACCACAACGTAAACACTCTGGCAGTGCGTGTAGCACGAGCACTGCTCCCTTATTCCCCCACCACCCCTCGTGGAGGTGGTGACGATGACGACGATGATGATGACGAGGAGCTCTACCACCCCCCTCACCCGGATTTGAACTTGACCCCTTCAAATCGGACGGAATCGATCGCTTTTCGCCTCAACGACAATAGCCACGATGGTGATTTCACATTCGCCGTTTACCGTACAACATCACCCATCATCGGCCTGACGCGGTTACTAAATAAACGTCAACAACTTGCATCGCGCGATAGTAAGACGGCAACACCGAGGGTGCGAGACAACAATGTCGACGGTAATGACGCCGCAAAGGGAAGATCGACAACGACTCTGAACGCTGCACCGACGGCACCATTGTAAACAACAACACCACCACCACAAACAACAACACCACCACAAACAACAACACCACCAACAACACAAACAACACCACAAACAACAACAACACCACAAACAACAACACCAGCAGCCACACGCGGCGAGCCCCGTGGCAGTGGAGCCACGGGGCTCGGAGCGAGCGCCTCTCGAAATGTGACGGATGAAAGTTAAACAAAAATACCCTGGTCGACTCGGCCCATCATCGCTCCCTCTCGGGGCCGATAAAATAGAGAACCGCTTTGTTCTGTAGGCGGAAGAGGGACCGGGGGGGGGGGCGTCATGATTTGGTTGTGCTACGGACAGACTTGCTCCCGCCATACGAACGGGTAATTTCCACCACTGGGCTTTGCGGGCGGGGGGGCCACAGGAACTAACTTCTAAATGACGCTTCAACAACGACGCCCACCACCACCACACGGCACCGGCAAATACCCGCGTCACATCACACCGCAGCGACCGGTACCACCGATGATGTCGCGATCGCCAGCGTGCCCAGGCACCACGGCCTCACTCGAGTCCCCAGGGACCCCTTCCCCCCGGCCTTCCCCTCCAGCGGTGGAGAGAACCTGACCCGTGAGAGGCGTCCACGCGAACCGCTGCGTTAAGTCCGAGACGGGGGGGGGGGTGGTGGTGGTGGTGGAGAGGCGGCAGCAGCAGCACGAAGCAAAACACGACAGCGGAGCCGGAACCAAAAAGTTCCCCGCGGGGACCCTTTTAAAGGTAACGCGCGCGTCACGAGATCCGTCACGTGAAGAGGCCTTAAGGCGAACGTCACTTCCGTTAATAGCCCCTCCCCCCGCCTTGACACGCGCGACCACGCCCCCTTGTTTTTAAGACCCCGACCCTTGTTACAAGCCCCGCCCCCCAACGTACAAGCCCCGCCCCCAGCGCACAAGCCCCGCCCCCAGCGCACAAGCCCAGTCCCTTGTTACAAGCCCCGCCCCCAGCGCACAAGCCCCGCCCCCCAGCGCACAAGCCCCGCCTCCAGCGTACAAGCCCCGCCTCTTGTTTATAAGCCCCGCCCTCAGTCTACAAGCCCCGCCCTGAGTCTACAAGCCCCGCCCCGTTGTTTATGAACCACGGGCCCTTGTTATTATCTCCGCCTCTTGTTTATAAGCCCCGCCTCTCAGTATACAGGTCCCGCCTCTTGTTTATAAGCCCCGCCTTTGTAACCCATCCCATTGTAAGATGAGTCCCGTCTCACGTGGTCCATGAGGCCGTGGGTTCGACCCCGGACCCAGACGATGCCTGTTGTAGTAGATGTAGTAAAGCTGTAGTCCGCGTGCTCTCTCTCTCTTCCCGTGGTGGTGGTGGAGGCGTGGATTGTTCTCCTCCTCCCGTGTTGCATCCACCGCTCCCCATTGAGATGTAACAGTGCGTTTAGATTCGTTCGCTGATGTTTTAAATCCCCACGTGTTGGTGCTGATTATATCTGCCGTGTGGACAGGTTGCCTCTAGGGAAAAATATATATATATGATAGCTCAGTGGGCTTTACATCGTAGAAAATGTAAATAAAATAATAAATAAAATATGTTATTAAAAATAAAAATAGTAAATTGAAAATAATAAATGTTTAGTGGATGGGAGGAGGGAGGAATTATCAGCAACGAACTTTTTCCATCTTCTTGGTTCTTTCGGTAAAGTCACGTAGAAGGGAAGTAATAAAATAATAAAAATAAAACACAATAAAATAATTCTCACGACGTTTCGGCCACAACGCAAGCAGCCGTCCCTTCTACGTGACTTTACCGAAAGAACCAAGAAGATGAATCCCTGCAGTCACGAAAGCTTTAAATCGAACTTTTTCCAAATAAATTTTGAGTAACGTTGCAAATGAGACACAGACTCAACGCCACGTGTCATGAATGCAGCGGGTTATTGTCTCACAGCGTGACCACAGACGCTCGGCTGCCTCTCGTCCAGCGCTGCGGAGGCGGCAGAGGGGGTTGGTGGGTCACGCACAGATGGGCTGTGAAAGTCCCCGTCGAGGACGAACCATAACCCTGGCTCGCCAGGAGAGGGCGGTGCAGTAACGCAAAGTGTGCTGCTAATCTTCTTGGTTCTTTCGGTAAAGTCACGTAGAATGGAAATAATAAAATAATAAAAATAAAACAAAAATTCTGAGAATTATTTTATTATAATAAAAAAATTCTGAGAATTATTTTATTATGTTTTATATGTATTTTTATTATTTTATTATTTCAATTCTACGTGACTTTACCGAAAGAACCAAGAAGATGAATCCCTGCAGTCACGAACGCTTCAAATCGAAATGTGCTGCTAATCTCCATCTGTTACCAGAATCCCACCCACTACACACAAGAAGGGCTCACAAGGGGCCGTCCATAAATGACGTCACGCACCTAGGGGGGGTCAGACATTTGTGACGATGTGTGACGAGGGGAGGGGGGTGAGAATTGTGACGTCACATCAAAATGCGCAACTTTAAATAAATAAACAACACGTTCTACTTAATTAAATAGACGTTTTAATAAATATTTCCTCCTACAACATCAGAGTGCAGCGCTACATTAAATACGCACTACAATGACAATAGTTTAAAGCGATTTGAAGCATGTTTTTTTGGGGGGGGGGGGGCAGAGCTTTGTGACGTCATATTTGAGGGGGGAGTCTGACTTTTTGTGACGGCGTGTGACGACGGGGGGCGGGGGTCAAAAATCGTCCAAAATCGCGTGACGTCATTTATGGACGGCCCCCAAGTGGCGTCATCGCATCTATCCCTTCGTTTAAGGAACGAAACAGGAGGATTTCTCCATAAATCTGTCTGTCCGCCTGATGATGCCGGTTGTAATTACTGGCGAAACGTCGTACTCAGATTATAAATGCCATGGATTTGCTCTCCAACAAACCGGTGTGCTGTACTAGTAACCAGAGGTGGGACAAAGTCATTGTTATGCAAGTCCAAGTCGAGTCTGAAGTCATCAAATTCATGACTCGAGTCTGACTCGAGTCCAAGTCACATGACTCGAGTCCACACCTCAGAGGTGGGACAAAGTCATTGTTATGCAAGTCCAAGTCGAGTCTGAAGTCATCAAATTCATGACTCGAGTCTGACTCGAGTCCAAGTCACATGACTCGAGTCCACACCTCTGCTAGTAACGAACTGGCATGTTCTAATCTTGATTTGAAGCTTTCGTGGCTGTAGGAATCCTTACTCTTTGGTTCTTTCGGTAAAGTCACGTAGTTAGAAATACAATTAAATAGTAAAAATCACGACGTTTCGATTACAACATTTTTGTTTTGTTTTGTTTACGTGATAAAACTTACTAATTGGCTGTGTTGAGTGGTGGTGGGTTTAACGACACATTTATACAGGGGTGCGTAAAAAAAATATGTTTAAACACTTCTGAGAATTTGCAACAACGCCTCGAGACACGTGCCTCCTCCGGGCTCTGGAGACCACCTGGAGAAGATTCCAGGCGCGCGTTGGCAACGATGGCGAACAAGTGGAGACTTTTTGACTTTTTAAAGCTATTACATTCCTGCGGAGGGAGCTGGTAGGAACGTTAGGTTGCTCGGTCAATGGCCAGGGTCAACGGCGGCGTGGTGTATTCCGCAAATATGCCGGCGTGAGTAGGTTAAACGTTGAGTTTTATAAGGGCACCACGGGGTGACCAGCCCCTCCCCACCCAGCACCACCCCTCCCACCCCCCACCCAGCCCCTCCCCACCCTCCCCTCCCCACCCAGCCCCTCCCCACTCTCCCTCCCCACCCAGCCCCACCCTCCCCACCCAGCCCCTCCCCACCCTCCCCTCCCCACCCAGCCCCTCCCTCTCCACCCAGCCCCTCCCCACCCTCCCCTTCCCACCCAGCCCCTCCCCACTCTCCCTCCCCACCCAGCCCCACCCTCCCCACCCAGCCCCTCCCCACCCTCCCCTCCCCACCCAGCCCCTCCCTCTCCACCCAGCCCCTCCCTGCACGACGGACACAATAATCCCCCATGGGCTGGTGTCACCAGGAGGTTCCTACCAGTATTAACATTACATTTGTTATCACGTTACAGTGCAGTAGTATCCGTTCTTTTTCCATGAAAAACGATAGTCTCACGCAAGTGTTAACATTTTTTTGAAGCGCCCTGTGTTGACGCGATCTAACCCAGCAAACCTCTATTACGGATGGTATTGGTCGCGAAAGCCCGACTACGACTTAGACTACTTCGTGTTAAAACTGTTCCAAATTCCTTCCAGTGTGAGTGGAGAAGGCGCCGTGCCCTGGCGGCTTCGCTCGCCGCCGGAAGCCACTGGGAAGCGATACGCACTTTTAAATAATCTCGATTTAATAAAAAAAAACTCATCTCTTTAGAACTACGTTGTGTTTAGTTGAGGGGAAAAAATAAAGGGTAAAAAAATACGCAAAAACTTGGCGAATATTTGACAAATTTATTTAAGTCCAGTTTTTGGCAGTTATGGGAGAATCAAATATAATTATCAATGAAAAATAATCGACATTCGGGGAGGGCATATTGCCGAACCTGCCCAACATAATTGTAACGAGAGAGAGATCGGCATCTGTAATATGATATTCAGGTTGCTGGGGTTAGAAAGAGAGATCGTATTAAAGGGTCACTTATATTTAACGTGAAACCAGGACGTCATCAACTCAGCGAGTGGGGGGAAAGAGTGCACAGGGGAGAGTGCAGCAGGGGAGAGTGCAGGGGTTGGGGTGGAGGGGACGGGAAGTGCAGCTGTGTGTGGGGTATTGGGGGGGGGGGCTCTGGTGGGGGGTGTAAGTTTTGGGGGGCACGGGATGGGCGGGCCGGGTGAGGGTGGCTCCGGGCGCCACGTCGGCAGCTGTGGAGGTGGAGGAGGGAGGAGGCTCGTGAAGGACCGCTGCTTCTGGGCAAGTTGTTGGAAGCTCCACTCCCAGCAACAGCAGAGGGCAGAGAAGCTCTCCGGGCGGATAAAATGTTTCAAGTTTCATTTATTAGGTACTAGCCCTGTGAGCCATGCGACTCTTAAGTCGGGTGCAACCGCAACAAACAAAATATGAACGGAGAACATCTTAAAGCGACAGAAACATTCCGGATAAACCAGAAAATCTTCCAAAAAGAAAAAAACCGCTGTGTGCAAAAATCCCAGTGTGATGCAAGTCAAACAATAACAATAATACAATTTTGATTACCCATATTTTTGCGAAATCACCAATATAACGCTATAAAAACAATGTAACCACAGTAATTAAAGGAACTGTGATTTAATTTAACATTAAACGATATTATAACAAGTACGACCAAATTTCTAGATTTGAAGCTTTCGTGACTGCAAGGATTCATATTCTTAGATTTTTTCGGTAAAGTCACGTAGGTAAAACATTAAAATTAATAAAAGTAAAATAAAATAAAAATAAAAATCACGACGTTTCGGAGGCAACAAAA